TTTCTATTTTTAGTAGAGACGGGGTCTCCTTCTTGCTCAGGCTGGTTTAGAACTCCTGACCTTGAGCAATCTGCCCGCCTCGGCCTCCCAGAGTGTTAGGATTACAGGCGTGAGCCACTGCACCCGGCCTTCCTTGGAGTTTTAAAAACTCTTTCTTTACCTAGAAATAATAAAAGATAGTCTATATTTTCTTCTATGTTTTAAAATTTTGCTTTATTTCCATAGTCTAATTTAAAATATTCTATAAATTTACTGCCAATCATCCTGATATAATTTGTTAAACAATTCATCCTTTTCCAATTAACTTGAAAGTCCACCTTATAATATGCTGTTCTACATTTCCATATATTCATGAGTTTGTTTCTAGGCTATTTTGTTCCACTGGTTTACTTGTTAATTCCTGAGGGAATATCACACTTCAAAATGACTATAGTTTTATAAGAAATCTTCAGTGTTACCTTGGCTACTCTTGCACTTTTGATCTTCCATGAATTTAATGCTCATTCTGTTAGGTTCCAGGAGAAAACCCCACTATGATTTTAAAATTTGAATTAGAGTGAATTTACATATTACTTTGTTGAAAATCCACATCTTTATAATACTGAATCTTCCCATATGTAAAAACAATACATATTTTAGTCCTTCTATAAAGTTTTGTATTTCCATAAGTTTTGTATTTCTTGTTAAAAATACTCCCAAGTTCTTTATAACTTTTGTTGCAGTTATGGATGGGATTGTTTTTAATGACACTATCTGATAGGTTATTGCTGATCTGAAGGAATATGCCTTGCCCTCTTCACAGACTTGTTGTGATGACTGAGTTAACAGAGCTGAAAATTTTACAAGTGATAAAGCAAAATACATATATTTCGTATTATTGCTATCCTCTGGACATAAATTAAAAAGTTAACTTTAGCAAGCAGTAAGGGTGTGATTTTTAAAAAAAACTTTTTAAGGCCGGGCGCGGTGGCTCACACCTGTAATCCTAGCACTCTGGGAGGCCGAGGCGGGCAGACTGCTTGAGGTCAGGAGTTCGAAACCAGCCTGAGCAAGAGCGAGACCTTGTCTCTCTATACGATAGAGCAGAAATTAATTGGCCAACTAACATATATAGAAAAAAATTAGCTGGGCATGGTGGTGCATGCCTGTAGTCCCAGCTACTCGGGAGGCTGAGGCAGTAGTATTGCTTGAGCCCAGGAGTTTGAGGTTGCTGTGAGCTAGGCTGACGCCACGGCACTCAGTCTAGCCTGGGCAACAAAGTGAGACTGTCTCAAAAAAAAAAAAAAGATGACCAATAAACTTTAAAAAGCAAACCTAAAATTCTAACCAGAAAAAGAGCCGAACACTTAATATGTCTGGTTAAATATTTCTCATGCGGCCGAAGAGAAAGCTCCCATTCAGTACTGAGATCAGAATGGGCCACCTCTTCCCGGGGCGGCCCCCAGTGCCTTACGCGGAACCCTTACGAAGTGCACTGCCTCTCCGATGCTCCTCCCTGCCCCCTGTCCAAGGGCCCCGCCCCCCAGTCGCACCTTCAGGTACCACCGAAAGTCCTCGCCCATTGGCCGGAGGTTGGTGACGTTCTCCAGCGTGGCTTTGAGCTGCAGCGCGATTTTCTGAGGAGGGAGGACCACAGCGACCGTGTCAGTGCGCCTGCGCAGCCTCACGAGCCTACGCCTAGCCCCGACCTGCCCCTCCCGGCACGAGCTCTGCTTCCCGCTCCTTCAGCGCTAGTCCACGCCCTTCGTTCCCTTCTGGCGCGAGCTCCTGCCTCCCAGGTCCTCGCCACTTGCCCCTTCATGCCCCGGCGGCGGGTCGCCTCCCCTCACCCCCATAGTGTCCCGGCCGAGCCCGGCGCTGGCTGCGGCCGTTACTTTCCGGCCCGTCGTAAAAGGCGGCCGCGGTCTGCGCATCCTCAGTGAGGTCCTCGAGCGGGCGGGGCGGGCGCGCAGCTGCTCGAGCTTTCCGCCGGGCTCTTCCCATTAGTTAAACTGACACGTGTGAATGTCAGCTAAGTCCGCGACTAACCCGCAGAAGCCTGCCTCCAGGAATCGGTAATGCACGTCGATTTTGTGCCAGCACTAAGGGAACAAGACAGCTCCTGCGCGAAACCACTGCTAGGCATTCTTCCGCCTCTCAGTTCTCGTTCCTGGCCCTTCACTACTCTGCTTTCCCTCACACTTGGTCCCTACCTGCCCTTGAAACTTCTCAGATCACGCCGGTTCCCCCTGCCCAGGAGTAGCCTCGCTGATTTGGAGATGCTGCCTTTCTTCTCTAAACGGCCCCTTCCTGTTTCACCTGGTTTCGAGACCGGGTTTGTAGGCCACTCTTCAAGTTGTCAAGTGGCCGCGTCCTCATCGTGGTCCCTGTGACTAAATGCTCCCCTTCAGCTGGCTATTTTTGGGCTCCCACCTGCTTACCCTTCTATCATAAGATTACTGAACCTTGTTTTACCTGGCCTTTTGTCCAGGTACATCTGAGACCATGCAAGAGCTGTGGACATCCACATCCAAGACTCACAATCCAAGACTCACAATCTTCTGAGGTCTTGTCATTTATTATTTGGAGTTTTGTTTTTTTTTGAGTACTTAAAGACCAGATGGATGAAGGGGGTTTTTTTGCCTCATTGCCCCAAGTACCCTTATAGCAGGAGGTGCACTGGATTCAGGAAACCTAACATCTCAGCGCTGCCCCTAACTTGTCCCATAGTCTCTGAAGGAGGCAGAGTGTAGTGGAAACAGCACTGGTCCAGGAGTCAGAATACTTGGTACCTTGTCCCAATCTGGCCAGTCTTTACGGGTGTGAGTTGCTAATCAATTCCCTTCAATCAAATGAGGCTTATCAAATCTAGTTCCTTTCAGCAAGTGCAATCTGTTCAATCAGCAATTTGCCTAAAGAAGCCGTACAGTTTAGCAGAAAGAAAAAGGTCCTATAGATCTACTTGCTGAACAAATTTACACACAATCTGTACCAACTTGGTTTCAGACCTTACTGGCTGTTGTTATTCTGATTATAAAATGGATTAATGGAAAACTTTTCTAAGACCAGGCATTTTATCCCTTGTAATGTACTAAACCAAAGCATTCCCACACACACACTACTGAACTATAGATGTATTTATGAAAGGGGATTTAAAAAACCCCAGCCACAATATTTCACACTTAAAATTAACAATGCTTCATTAGAATCATCAAATAGTGTTTAAACTTCCTTGATGGTATTGATTTTACGTTTTTGAATCATGATCCAAATAGGGTGCAAACATCATATTGATTAATATGTCTCTTAAATCTTCTTTGTACATCCACCTCCATCTGTTTCTCTTGCAATGTATTGAAGAAACCAGGACATTGGATCTGGAATTTCCTCTGGAAATTCTGATTGATTCTGAAATGCTGATTGATTCCATTTGTATTTTTCTTAGCATGTTTCTATATTCTTTTATTTCCTGTAAAATGGCAGTTATATCTAGAAAGTTGATTAGATTTCATTTTGGGGCAATACTTCACATAAGATGTTAGTATTTTATTATACAAAGTAACTGAAATGAGTTCACATGTTCAGGTCTTTATAAAATAATAAAAATTGGATTTTATCATGTATTTATTAAAGACAATCATTTATAGCTTATAAAAATATTGCCCTGATATACACAAAAATTTCCTGGTAAAGGTAATTAAAAACTACTCCCACCCCCCTCATGTCCATACCAATATTCAACCTAGATTGGTTTAATCTTGAAGTGTAATCCAATAAGACTGAAGACCAAACACTTCAGGTCCTGGACAAGATAATAAAATACTCGTAAGCCTTCTGGATCCCTAAAATACAAGAAGAAAAAAATGTTTAAAAAGCTGAGAAAAAATGGCAAAAAATACCATTTGATAACCCTACTTATTCATCTACCAAGATGTTCCTTGAACTCAGAACAATTAAGTGTCCATAAAGAAAGAAAAGGCTATTTAAAGGGAATATTATGAGATCATTTAAATATGCTGAGTTTTTTAAATGGGGAAATGCTTACATAGTATTAAGTGAAAAAAAATGATTAAAATAAGACTGTTGATCTCAACTATATTTTTTGTGCTTTTTAAGTTTTAATGTACAGAGAAAAGACTAAAAAATACTTCAAGATATTAATAATGGTTGTCCAACTGATAAGATTATGGATAATTTTCCCTTTCTACTTTTATACATTTCCTGTATTTTCTACAATGAGCATGTATTACTTTCAGAATAGGAAAACTTTTTAAAAAAGTAGTAGTACTAAGCAAGACCAAGAGGTTGAAGATGACTGTGGCATCACCGGCTAAGAACAAGGAGGCTGTCCAAAGACAATTATGCCCAACATTGACTAGAAGTCAGTCTTATCTAATGCCAAATCCTCAAAACACAAGAACCAAAGAGATTGCCAAATTCTTTTTTTTTTTTGAGACAGAGTCTCACTTTATTGCCCAGGCTAGAGTGAGTGCTGTGGCATCAGCCTAGCTCACAGCAACCTCAAACTCCTGGGCTCAAGCAATCCTGCTCCCTTAGCCTCCCAAGTAGCTGGGACTACAGGCATGCACCGCCATGCCCGGCTTATTTTTTCTATATATATTAGTTGGCTAATTAATTTCTATTTATAGTAGAGACAGGGTCTCACTCTTGCTCAGGCTGGTTTTGAACTCCTGATCTTGAGCAATCTGCTCGCCTCGGCCTCCCAGAGTGCTAGGATTATAGGCGTGAGCCACCACGCCTGGCTGAGGTTGCCAAATACTAAGGATCCGTTGTAGCATATAGATTCATGTCTCAACTTTATAATTTGCCCCAGTGATAGCATGAATTTTAATACTTAGATCCTAAAAAATGTCAAGTTTTACCAAAGTCAAATTTAAGATGTGCCAGTCTGAACGGTCAACACTGAAAAGGCTACTCAGACTGAGAAGACTCTACAGTTTATCCTGAGTGCTTATTTTGGCATATTTCATTTTCTGTTCTGGCTGCTCCTATGCACATTAATCTGTATGTGTGTGTGTCACCAAGAAGCTCTTAGTAGCAATGATTGAATGAAATACCAAAAGTAGTAGGAGCAAGCCTTCAAAAATATTTGGAGTCCCTCCCAAATAAGGAGGACAAAGCTGCCACCTCTGTCTTGCACTTGCACCAGATCTTCCCAAATGGTTCCCATTTGGTTAAGAACTTCTTAATCTGCTCCAAAACAGACACAACTGGATATAAGGATCACGTACACTTACTTGGATTGATTGACATCAATAAGGGAACCAATTTTTGATGTTGTGAAAGAAATGTGTTCATCTCCAATGACGATTTCAAGCTCCTAGAAACATTTAAAAAATCTAAGTTGAGTAGAACTGGATTATTCTTCAAGCACACAGGAGAAGGGTTTATCATTTGCCAAATCACAAACAAGACTACAGATGAACACAAAAACAAGGACAGTTCACTCTAAGCCCTAAACTGTGTTAGGCACTAGAAACAGATAAATACTGGTTTAGCCCCTGAGAAGCTCATACTCTTAGAGGAAGCTGTATTCTCAAGGCTCTACCATTTCTGAGATTTGGAAGAATTTACATACAATTTTGTATAGAAGTTTTCATTGTTAACAATGTGGTGTAACATGGATAAATGTGTTTTGTTGTTGTTTTTGGAGACAGAGTCTTGCTTTGTCACCCCAGCTAGGGTGCAGTGGCATCATCACAGCTCAGTGCAACCTCAAACTTCTGGGCTCAAGCAATCCTACCCCTCAGCCATCCAAGTAGCTGGGGACAACAGCCACGTGCCACCATGCCTAGCTAATTTTTTCCATTTTTAGCAGAAAAGGGGTCTTGCTCTCACTCAGGCTGGTCTTGAGCTCCTGAGCTTGAGTGATATTCCTGCCTCAGCCTCCCAGAGTGCTAGGATTACAGGTGTGAGCCACTGTGCCTGGCCTAGATCTGTGTTTTAAAACCACAAAAGGATCTAATCTTTCTGGGCAACATGAAACAAGGAAAGTGTTCCAGACCTTGGGATCTCAGCTTTGTCACTTCCTAGCTGTGTGACCTTGGGTCTCAATTTCTAAGTAGTGACATGAGTACTATAAACCTTCAAAAAATATCTATGGGGGTGGCTACTGTGTGCCAGGTATTATTCTCAGTACTTGTGACAGAGCAGTAAAACCAAACAAAACCAAAGAAAGATCTCTGCCCTGTGGAACTTAGACTCTAGTGAACTGTGCTTATTTTTTCTTCTTTTTCTCTATTTCTTTTTCATTTATAATCAAACAGAAAATAGAAAAAACTGAAACCAATGTTCCCAATACCTAGATTTGAAAAATGTTAATATTTTGTCATACTTGTGTCATATTTTTTTTAAAAAAAAAATAAAACATTACAAAGTTTATGTCCACTTCCCATTCTGTTCTTTTTCCTGCATTCCCTGAAGTTGAGGTGTATTCGTTCCACTCATATTTTTAGATTTGGCAGTATGTTTTAAAAATTTTACATAAATGGTCATACTATATGTATATTTTTGCTTTTTAATTCAACATTGTTTATGAGATTTATCCATGTTGAGTTATGTAGATCTAGTTCACTAGTTTTAAATGCTTTAGAGTATTCCATTTCCCTACTTAATAAGACTGAAGTTCTACTTTTTTTTCTTTTTTGAGCTAGAGCCTCACTCCATTGCCTAAGCTAGAGTGTAGTGGCATGATCATAGCTCACTGCAACCTCAAACTCCTGGGTTTAAATCAAAATCCTCCTGCCTCAGCCTCCCAAGTAGCTGGAACTATGGGCATGCACCACCACCTGGGCCTCCTTGAATGCTAGGATTACAGGTGTGAGCCACTCTGTGCCTGGCCCCCAATTTTTTTACTATAAACAGTGTGGCAAGAATAGTCTTCTATGCACTTTTTCATACATATGTGAAAATGTCTCCAGGAAAATTCCTAGAAGTAGGATAAGTATTTTCAACTGTGCCACAGACCACCAAATTGCTCCTTAGAATGGTTGTACTAATTTTATTCCCACCAGTAACATAAACATAAGAACCCCCTTTTTTTCATATCCTTTTTAAAACATGGTGGGTTTTATTTTTATTCTAATGGGTTCAAAATGTTATCTCATTATTGTCCTAATTTTCCTTTTATTATTTTCATGTTTACTGGCCACTTGTTTAATTCTGTAAATTGTCTATTTGCCCATTCTACCACTAGGTTGTCTTTTTATTAATTTGCAGTTCTTTATATATTCTGGATAGAAACCCTTTGCCAGTTATGTTTTGCAGATATCTTCTTCCAGTCTGTGGCTTATCTTTCAATTTTATCTTGCTGTCTTTTATCAAACAGAAGTTTTAGATTTAAAGAAGTAAAATTTACCAGTCTTTTCCCTTGGAGTTTTTTGTTTTTTTTGAGACAGGGTCTTACTCTGTTGCCCCGGCTAGAGTGCCATGGCGTCAGCCTAGCTCACAGCAACCTCAAACTCCTGGGCTCAGGTGATCCTCCTGCCTCAGCCTCCCGAGTAGCTGGGACTACAGGCATGCACCACCATGCCCAGCTAATTTTTTCTATATATTTTTAGTTGGCCAATTAATTTGTTTCTATTTTTAGTAGAGACGGGGTCTCCTTCTTGCTCAGGCTGGTTTAGAACTCCTGACCTTGAGCAATCTGCCCGCCTCGGCCTCCCAGAGTGTTAGGATTACAGGCGTGAGCCACTGCACCCGGCCTTCCTTGGAGTTTTAAAAACTCTTTCTTTACCTAGAAATAATAAAAGATAGTCTATATTTTCTTCTATGTTTTAAAATTTTGCTTTATTTCCATAGTCTAATTTAAAATATTCTATAAATTTACTGCCAATCATCCTGATATAATTTGTTAAACAATTCATCCTTTTCCAATTAACTTGAAAGTCCACCTTATAATATGCTGTTCTACATTTCCATATATTCATGAGTTTGTTTCTAGGCTATTTTGTTCCACTGGTTTACTTGTTAATTCCTGAGGGAATATCACACTTCAAAATGACTATAGTTTTATAAGAAATCTTCAGTGTTACCTTGGCTACTCTTGCACTTTTGATCTTCCATGAATTTAATGCTCATTCTGTTAGGTTCCAGGAGAAAACCCCACTATGATTTTAAAATTTGAATTAGAGTGAATTTACATATTACTTTGTTGAAAATCCACATCTTTATAATACTGAATCTTCCCATATGTAAAAACAATACATATTTTAGTCCTTCTATAAAGTTTTGTATTTCCATAAGTTTTGTATTTCTTGTTAAAAATACTCCCAAGTTCTTTATAACTTTTGTTGCAGTTATGGATGGGATTGTTTTTAATGACACTATCTGATAGGTTATTGCTGATCTGAAGGAATATGCCTTGCCCTCTTCACAGACTTGTTGTGATGACTGAGTTAACAGAGCTGAAAATTTTACAAGTGATAAAGCAAAATACATATATTTCGTATTATTGCTATCCTCTGGACATAAATTAAAAAGTTAACTTTAGCAAGCAGTAAGGGTGTGATTTTTAAAAAAAACTTTTTAAGGCCGGGCGCGGTGGCTCACACCTGTAATCCTAGCACTCTGGGAGGCCGAGGCGGGCAGACTGCTTGAGGTCAGGAGTTCGAAACCAGCCTGAGCAAGAGCGAGACCTTGTCTCTACTATAAATAGAAAGAAATTAATTGGCCAACTAATATATATAGAAAAAATTAGCCGGGCATGGTGGCACATGCCTGTAGTCCCAGCTACTTGGGAGGGTGAGGCAGAAGGATTGCTTGAGCCCAGGAGTTTGAGGTTGCTGTGAGCTAGAAGCCTGGGCAACAAAGCGAGACTCTGTCTCAAAAATAAATAAATAAATAAAATAAAATAAAATAAAATACTTTTTAAAGAGTTGGCCTATCATTTTGAGGTTAATTACATATGAGCTTATATGGGTTTTCATTTTAATTAATAAATATAATTATTACTGAGCTTTTACCATACACTGGCTAGAGAGACAGCAGTGAAAAAAATTGGTAAAATCCTTGTACTGAATGAGCTTGCATTTGTGTGTATGTCTATTGTGGCAAGGGATGAAGGGAGACAGGTTAAGTAAGGAAAAGCAAATAAGACAGTTTTAGACAATAAATGTCACTAAGACTAAAACAGAGCTTATTTTTTAAAATGATGGGGAGAGGCTTAAATTGGATGGACAGGCAAGATATCACTGAGAAAGTAACTTTCGAAGACCTTAATAATAAAGATAGTTTTGTATAGAGTTAAAGGAAGACTATTCTAGGCAGAATGTGGCAAGTTCAAAGGCCTTAAAGACAGACCCACCTTATTAGAAATGAGGCTAATAAGGTTTGAACACTGAAAGATTGTGAGAATGACAGAAGGTGGGAATTAGGATTTTAAGTGTAGTGGGAAGCCACTGACCATTTAAATCAGTGGAATACACAAACAAGTATACATTTTTAAAGATCACACTGGCTTCAGGATGGAAAAATGGATGGTATGGGACAAGAGGAGAAACAGGAAATCAATCAGAAGTCTGGATTAGGGTTGCAACAGTCACAGTGGACAGCTGATAATTCAATCAAACTTGACAGTGGCTTTTATTTTTTTAATTAACAAAATGGTCGTTAGAATAAATATATAAGCCATGAATTTACATAATACACTTAGTTACTTGTATGATTTTCCTTCTATTAGATTGTTGAAATAACTTTGTTATATCGTTGTATCCCCACAATGCTTTGTCTGTAGCGATTACTCAGTAAGTGAGGTAGGCAGCAGGTTTGAGAAAGGGGGTTGTCATAAGAAGAAATTCAGGGTGGGCTCTAGTGATACTGGCCAGTAGTATCACTCAGCGTGGGGAACCTGCAGCCTTAAGGCTTCATGTGGCCTTCTAGGTCCTTAAGTGCAGCCCTTTGACTGAATCCAAATTTTACAGAACAAATCCTTTTTTAAAAGGGGTGCAGCAGAGAAAGATGGAGCTTTTCCTGCCTCTTCTGGTGCTTAAAAAGGAACAATCTTGAAATCAGAAGGCCGCAGGTTCTCCACCCCCTTAGACCAAGGTGCTGGTAATCTGCTTTGTGCAGGGCTCAATAACACACACACAAAAGTGGATTCACTGTCATATGCAGAGCAGTAAACCTTATTTTATTTGTAAAATTTCTGCACTACAGGATGATCAATAAAACACTCACCTGCCGGCCCACTCGGTCAGGTGGAGGCCACAAAGCATCATCTTCTTTGGTAATTTCACTGTCATCAATTATTCTCTTCAGTTCCTCCATCACGCTTTTATGTACATAGGCCTGAAAGCAAGTTAAAAACAAAATTTAAGTTGTATCCTGAAGCAGTGCTCTGACTCAGAAAGTAATGGAAGATAAAAAACAACTGCTCCTACAGACTTACTTCTGGCACCTTCTTAAGTGAGAAGACATTCACACCTGACCTCAGCATGCTAAAGGAGAGGGACAGAGTCAGAAGTACCCAATAACTACAACCCAGTCACCCATCTAGTTGTTACTACCTCCTGGTACAGCCTGGTCACATGGAACTTCTCCCTGTTCACATACCCAACTCACACCTGAAGCCCAAACAGATCTGTGAATGTGCCCTGCTATGGTTTGAACGTTTATGTCCCCTTCAACACTCACTTCTAATACCCAATTCAACAGTATTAAGAAGTAAGGCCTTTAGGAGGTAATTAGAGCCCTCATGGATAGGATTAGTGCCTTATAAAAAAGCTCAAGGGAACAAGCTGGCCCCTTTTTGTTCTTTTGCCTTCTATGGACACAGCATTTCTCCCCTCTGGAGTATGCAGTATCAAGGCACCATCTTGGAAGCAGAGACTGAGCCCTTACCAGAAATCAAACCTACCAGTACCTTGATCTTGGACTTCCCAGCCTCCAAAACTGTGAGAAAATTCTATTCCTTATAAATTACCCAGTCACAGGTATTTCGTTATAGCAGCACAAAATGGTGCTGGTTATTCTCAACTAGATAACATGCTTCTGAGGAGCAGAGATATGTCTTTTACAATACATTTTGCATACTAGCAGTGAGGACGCTGACAATGTATGGATAAGTATGAAATCAACAGGTAATTGAATATAATAATATGAAAATATATTGGCCGTTAAGACATGTTCGAATGTGATGAAGTGGTTAAAAGGAAAGAGTAGCATTGATAAAGCCTTAAGTGTGTGGCAGAAATCACAGCAGCATGGAGCACATGGACTTTAGGGAGGTAGGCATGGGTTTGAATTTCCACTGTAATGCTTACCAGCAGAGGTGACTTGAAACAAGTCCCATAGTTAATATCTGGGCCTTCATCTTCTTATTTGTAAAGGAGATATAATACCCATCCACACACACATGGGCTAATAATCAAGGTTAAATAAGATCATATATGTAAAATACCTAGTGCCATGCCTGACATCTAACATGCATTCAGTGATGTTAACTGCTTTCCTATGCTTCCTTTCCCCATTTAGATGCAAATTAAACAGCTCTCCCCATTGAGTGTTTCATGCCAGGGAATACACCAAGCACATTAAGTATAACATATTTAATTCTATGATAGCACTTGGGAGTGGGGGTCAGAGTAGGTTTTATTATCCTTGTTTTTGCAGATGAAGAAACAGAAAACTTATCAAGTTCAGACAGGGGACTTGCCCAAGGTCATATGGTTAGTAAACAGGAGATTCAGGGTTCAAACCAAGGTATGCCAGACTTTGAATGGTTACCAGTAATTGATTCAGCAATGTAAAAGAAAATACATACTAAAAGATTTGAGAAATAATCTAGAAGCTATCCACAGACATATATATACTTTCCTATTTTATAACTTTCAATACTACTCCCAGAAAGAACAAAAACAATGCAAAACAAAAGGCTGAACTCTATTGAACGAAGGCTCATACCTCTTTTCTGATCATGACATCATTTTTGTAATTGCTGTTGTTGGCATATCTCAATTTCCCTGTGAAGGAAAAAAACAAATGTATAATAAAAACATATGAATAAAGCATCACTGTCCTAATAAAAACATATGAATAAAGCATCACTGTCCTACCAAGACTATCAGCTGTTGCCTAAAATATATCCTAACTTGCTCTTCAAAGTGTCTAACAGATTTACTATTTGTACCTTTGGTGTTTCAACAATACTAGTCTTTCAGTTTTTCACTTCAAGCTATTAAACAGCCTCACAGCTAACTATACAGCTGACACTGAACTACAGTTCTTGCTAAAGGCCGCTCAGAGTGGTAAAAGAACACAGGCAGGCTCTTTTGTGACTCACATCCTGCCAATCACATTTTTGCAGGATAATGTCCTGGGCTAAAAATAGGGATAGTAATTAATAACTTACCTGCACACAGGACCTCCTGAGGCTCAAATGAGTTGTAAAGGCATTTTGAAAACAATAGGCTTTTGAAAACAAGAGCATCCTATTGTTTTATATTATCGTGTGACTGTGTTAACACTCTGTTCTATTACTGTGATGGAAAAGTTGTGCTTTTATCACTGAGCACATTTGGTACACAGGGCTCTTTTTGTGCATCCAACAGGCTAATTTGAATATATGGTGGGGACAAAGGAGAAGAAAAAAGGAAATAGAAGACATGATTTCTTTTCCCCCTGTAGACTAGAAAACACACCAAATTAATTAACTTCAACAGTCAAGGCTTATCATACAGGTTCTGCACTGTTTCTCTGCCTCAAGTCTCTTCCCTTTCAGTACACTCCTCATACAGTGAACAAGGTTTTAAGTAACATACCTATCTCACTAGGTTACTCTAATATAGGTGTCCTCAAACTACAGCCTGTGGGCCACATACGGGCTGTCTAGCACATTTATCCGGCCCTTGGCCCTTCGGGTGTTTTTGCTGCCACTGCCTGTCCTGCTTAGCAGCCGACTTGTCCTGGGCCTATAGTGCACACTCTCCAATGGTCTGAGGGACAGTGAACTGGCCCCTGTTTAAAAAGTTTGAGGACCCCTGCATACTTTGATACTGTTAATGGCTTCCCACTGCCTTCCAAACTCCTCAAAATGACATATAGCTAATAATCTGAGCCCAGCTGCCTTTCCGGCCTCACTCTTACAATATTCTGCTATCACACTGCTGGAGTCAATTAAACGACTTGGTTTCTGCCTGAAACACGACATGTACATTTTGGTTTTCAGCTCTTTGCTGTTAATGCTGTCCAAAATACCGTCTTGACTCTTCTTGGACTCCTAACCAACTCCTACACATCCCATCCCAGCGTCACGTCATTTTATGTAGGAAATCTTCTCTGATCCTGAAGCTAGGTTAGGTGCCTCCTCTCTGTTCCCAGAGACCCCTCTGTTTCTTTCTACTACAATACTCGACATACTGTCACTGTTTACAAATCTATCTCCCTTGCAGTCAGAGTTTATCATATTCATCTTTATGCCTTCATTTAGAGGATGTTTTCTGTCATCCTTGATACTTCTTTCCTTCCCCATAGTGAAAGGTGGTCTTACTAATAAAATAACCTATCTAACAGAAGAAAATAAATTATCAAACGGAAAGAAAAATAAACCCACAACACAACTACCTTTTGTTTAATTAAAACACGTGTGGCCTAACTTGTTAACTCTTTCTCAGCCTTGAAAAAAGTTCCTGAGCAGACAGTTGGAGCATGAACTTCCCCTGGTTCCTCAAGAAGAGACAGTATCAGATGCCTTCTTCTATCAAGAAGAAGAAACTAATTTCTACTATCAATCTGTTATGTGAGAAAAAGCAAAAGCCAACACAGCAGCTTCACAGCTGCTTTTGTTATCAGTACCCTGAAGCAAAGAAAAATGCCATTTTTACCTCTTAAAAGGACTAAGCAACTTTCCTCGGTGCCTGACATTTCTTTCCTCCCTCCCTGTGTCATGGCCACACACTCTCTATCTCCCTCTTTCTTTCACAAGAAAATAAATGAACTTTTTCTTTTGGATATCCTAATAACTGAGAATTCTCCCCCCTCCCCCACAGACTTCACATCCTAACACACAGTGCCCCCTCCCCAAATCCTATTAATGAGCAAAGTCCAACTGATTTTGCCTCCGACAGTATCCTAAATCCTTCTCTCCAATTCTACTATTTCTCTAGTCCCAACCAACATTCCTTTTGTCTTCATAACTTTAACCATCTTCTAATCTGTAGCCCTGTTTCCACTCTTACACATTCTGCACCCAATAGCTAGAATGCTTTATCAAGAACAAATCACATCTTCTCTCTGCTTAAAACATTCCATTTCCAAACTCTTTATCATGGTCTATAAAAACCTACCCTACTAGGCTCCTACTTGCCTATCCAACATCATCTCCTACTATTCTCCCCGGAGCTCACTACCCTTCAGCCACACTGGCCACCTGAAACATGCCTAGCTCATTCCTGCCCTTCGGTCTTGACACTTGTTGCTCCTCCTCTGCGTGGAATGCTCCTCCCGTGCTTCACAAAGCTGGCTCCTTCTTGTCAGACAGAGTTCAGTACAAATATCCCTTCTCCAGAGAGCTCTCTAATGGCCACCCTCTCTAAAAGTAGCCCACCCAACAATTCTATCATTTCATTTCCTGACTACTCATCACTTGGGAATTATCTTTTTATTTATAATATCGCTCCCAACACTAAAACAGTTCCAAAAGAGGGGAAGTTTGTCTATCTTCGCTGATGTATCCCTAGAGGGTGGAACACAGCCCAGCACAAAGTGGACGTTTAATCAACCTTTGTTGAATGAAGCACTCTGGTCAAAATGTCACTAAACAGAAGCCTCTGCACATGGATAGAAAGACCCAGCGGGGCGGACAGGAGCGTTCCTTTCAGGGTTGCAATACACCGGTCTCAGTCCCTTCCTCCTTTAGCACCCCACCCATTCCGAACCCCTGGCTTCTCCATTCGCCCGCCCCCAGGCCTAGTCCCTGCTCCCGGGGGGGCGGGACGTTGCTCTTACCGTCGGGTCGGAACTCAAACTCCAGGAACTCGTGGCCGAACTTGCCCTTGTGACCCACGTAGTAACGTAGATAAAAGTCACTTTCCATAGTTCTCAGAAGGCAACTGAGACCAAACTTTAAGAAGAAACCGCACAGCCACGGTACGCGCCCAGCACTGACGTATATGGCGGCGCCCGGAAGTGACGTTAGGAAACGGCGTCGCGTGCCGTGGAGGGGCCCCTCCCCTCTCCCCTCCCCTCCCGGAGGTGGGCCCAAGACTGCCACGCCCCCTCTCGCCGAGGCGGGAACTAGGTCCCTTCAATGCAGAGGAAGGTCAAATAGCCGCCATGTCCAGGTCGAAGCGGGAACTAGGCCGGGGTTCTCGCAAAGCCTGAGGCGGAAGGCAGCTGGATGGCCTCTGGGCTTGGAGGACGCAGCACGCCGTGGTGTGTGTGTCGAAAGCTGGCTTCCACTAAACTTTCCTGTTTAAGAAAACAGTTCTCAGTGACCCCTTCCCTGAAGCCCCAGTAGAAATTCCGTGGAAGTAACTGGCCCGAGCTTATGCCCCATTTTATTCCTTTCCACCTTTTATTTCTTCCTTTCTACCTCATTGGTCTCTGGAATAGGCGCTGTGAGGAGAAGTTAAACTGAATGTTTGCTTTCCCACTCGCAGTCATCCCACTTACCCGCAGTGATTCTTGGTCCTGGCTACACAGCAGAATCACCGGAGGCGCCTCTTGGAATACTGATGCCTGGGCCCCACCCCGAACCAATGAAAATCTCCGGTGGTGGACCTGGGCATTGGTATTTTATGTAAAGCGCCCAGGTGAGTCAGAGTTGAGCACCACTGCCCAAGGGACTCCTCTGTGAAGGCTGAAGCAGTTGAAGGGTTTTTAAGGGGGGGGGGGTGTAGAAAGAGGTGGCGGTGACATGACTTAACTGCACTTTACAAAGATTACTTTGGCCGTGGAAAAAAACTTAACGGTTGAGTAGGCCCAGGGCAATCAAAATCATAATTATAGGAGCCTGCTTTAGCTCGTCTAAATTCCAGCCACAGGAAATGGTTCCAGAGACTGTGCTAAGATGACGTCCATTCTTGGGGCCTGGCGACTATAACTGTATACAATTCTGTAAATCAGGCCAGTAGTCTCGGTTGTCATTCCCGGTCTTAACATTGAGTCCTTTTCTCCCTAAAAAATCATTGGTAGTTGAGTATGGAGTGGGTGGGGGGAATAACTGGAGACTTGGGTTAAAATAATCCCTTGTGTAACAGTAATTCACTGTCTATAGGTGAACCGATTCAACCTTTTAGACCTCAGTTTCCTTATCATTAAAATGAACATAATAATGTACACCTGGCAGAGCTGTTGATAAGAAACAATGTGTTGGAAAAATACTTTGCAAACTGTAAACTGCTATAAAATCATTAGGCATTTTTATGACAAAACACCAGATATGGGTAGTAACAAGGAATTGTACAAAAAAAGGAAGAAAGGTATTAAGCACCTAATAAATGTCAGCTCCCCGGCAGAGCCCTATTACATGTGCTTGTTCTTTCAATCATCACAAAGAAACACTGATACAACTGACTCAGTGCAGATTTTATATTTCATTCGGGTCATAACAGAAGATTTTCTTTGCTATGAAGAATTATTCATTTCGGGCACCTTTATGAACATAACACAGGGAATAAAAATCTTCAACAACTTGCAAGTAAATGTTGTAAAGTTGGACTGAATTTGGAAAATTTAGTGAGTGTATATACAGATGGCGCACCTTCCATGACAAGAAACATGAAGAATTTATTGCACAGATTCTAAAAGTATTTAACATATCCAGATGCTCTCATTTCTTTTCTTTGTGTCTTGCATCAGCAAAATCTCTGTGCTAAAGCTACTGCTTTAAGTGACACTTTGCAACAAGTTATAAGTATAGTTAACTATATTTGAGCAAATGCAATATGGCATCTTCAGTTTTGTAGCGCTAAAGTTGAAGGATGAAGTATTCAGCTTTGTCATCTTTCTAAAGTGTATTGGCTATTGCAGGGACAGGTGTTAGCCAAAATTTTATCTCTGTGAGAACAGATAGTTAAATTTTATGAAGAACAGAATCAGCAATGTGAACTATTGAAGAAAGATTTCTATAGGAATGTAGCATTTCTGTGTGATATGTCAAATGAAAATGACTTGAATATTTCTTCGCAAGGTAAAACTAAGTCTATATATGATATGTGGCAAAAAAAATCCAAGCATTTCGAAAAAAACTATCTTTTTTTCAAAACAATTCTTCAAAAGGAGATTTCAGATGAATGTTTTCTCCAGTTAGCAAAAGTCACTGATGAGCAGGAAGACATATGCAAATCATTTGAAGAATACACAGCTATTATAGACCTATTAATTGTAGAATACAATGAAAGGTTCACTAACTTTAAGAATTATGACATCACACTCAAATTAGCATTTCAGCCTCACCTAGTTGATATCACCAATGCACCTAAAGAACTATAGATGGAATCGATTGAGTTCTCAGTAGATGACATTTTAAAGTCATTGTTTGATGCTAAGAAAGATCCAATTGAAATATGGAAAAATGTAGTAGAATACCCATGACAACGTGCCTGAAAAATGCTTGCTTGCTTTTCAGCCACTTATAGCTGCGAATCTACATTCTCCTACCTAACCCAAATCAAGACGCCCTTAAGGTCACAAATGACTGATACCCATCTAGAGGATCAATTGAAACTGCAGACCTCCATGCTGTAATCAAATATTCAAATGCTTTCCAACAGAAAGCAAACACAACAAAGTCATTAAAAGGTCAGTTAACTTTAAAATTAACAAATAGGTTTCATTGTTTGAAATTATTAAGTAGATTCTTACAAAATAATGTACATTTTAAAGTATATCTAATTGAAGTTTGTTGAATGCAGCCTTATTTGATTACAGCTAAATTAATGTGGCCTTCCAACATGAGCAGGTTCCCCACCCCTGTACTAATATATATTCTAACCACAGTTCTGGACCCTCTCTCTGGAACATTTCCTTCAGGAAGACCTTCCTTAGGGTCTCATAGACTGGATTAGGAGCCAGCCCATGTGCTTCTACAGTATTCCACGCTTCCCACATTGGCAATCTTATCCCTGCATTGTAATTGCTTGTATGCTCCTTAGTTGCTGTCTCTGCAAGCTCTATAAAGATATGTCTTGCTCACCATTGTAGCCCCCACCATGACACATCCTAGTGTCATGAATGATGCTGAATTCAGGCACCGCATGCACACAGACTAACTCTACCATGTTGTCTCATACCCAAAAACCTGGATTTACTTTCCAGCCTGATTGGAATCAGTCCTTTAAATTTCTTGGCACTTTTGTTTCGAACTCCTGACCTTGAGCGATCCTCCTGCCTCAGCCTCCCAGAGTGCTAGGATTACAGGCATGAGCCACCACGCCCAGCCAGCACTTTTGTTATTTGGCACATCTGCAGATGCCCAGATTCACCAGTTACATTATAATTTTACTCTTGGAAAAGAGCCTTGTGGCAATCTCCTGATAAGACCTATACTTTCTTTTTGAAGTACTGCATGAAGTTCTGTTAAGTTGAAGGGTGGTCTTGAACTCCTGAGTTCAAGCAATCCTCCTGTCTCGGCCTCCCAGAGTGCTAAGATTACAGGCGTGAGCCACCATGCCCAACCTATTCTTTGATATTTGAAATATGTTCATTTTAAAAATAAAAATATAAAAGATGAACAAAAATGTGTTAATAAAAGTATCTGTTCTGTAAAATGTGGATTCAGTTAAAAGGCTGCACTTAAGGACCTAGAAGGCCACATGTGGCCTTAAGGCCACAGGTTCCCCACCCCTAGATTAGTAAGTGATGAGGTTGGAGGAGGGGCAGAAGCTAAATCACAAAGGACCTTACAAGCCATCTAAAAGAGTTTGGGCAAACTCAAAATTATTGAGTTTTAATGCCAGGGAAGCAATTGAAGGGCTTTAAACAGGAAAGTGAAAAGAGGTGGTAGTGACATGACTCATTGAACTTTAGAAAGATCACTGTCTGCAATGTTGTAGGCTGGATTGGAAAATGGAAAGACTAGAAGTATGATATTTGAATAAGTAGTTGTTAAAATAATCTAAGATGGTGTTAATCCAAGATGATGATGACCTGTACTCAAGTAGTGGCAATGGTGATAGAAAAGTAGATGGATTTGAGATGGAATACCATATTTTAAGGGGTGTGCAAAGGAGACTAAGATGTGGCCAGAGAGCTAGGAGAAAAACCAGGAGTATGATATCAGGGAATCCACAATAAGAGTATGCCAAGAAAGGAGTGGCCAACAGCGTTAAACACCACTTCTGGGTCAAGGAATGTAAGGACTGAGTGTTTACAAGTTTTATAACCAAGGAGGTACTGGATGACCATGGTAATAGCAATCCCAATGGCATGGGAGTGAGTGGCAGGGCAGAAGTACTGTGATACAAGTAGGCAAAAATTTTTATGGAAGCCTAGATGTGAGTTACCTAACCCAGTCTGAGAGGATAGGCAAGGCTTTTTGGAGGAGGCATTACCCAAGTGGAGTACTCAAGGATGAATAGGAGTTAGCCAGACAGAGGCAGAGAAGGAAAATTTAGGCAGAGAATGCTATGAATACATGTGCAAATTGCCCTTTGGGAGCACTAAAAAATAACTGTGACTTTGGGCAATTACTGCACCCACGTCCTCATCTATAAAATGGGAATGGATAATATTGATAGGATTTATCTCACAGATTGTTGACAAAGCTTGAGATAATTTATGTAGAATACCTGGTACACATTAGGGACTCAATTAGTGATAATTCACTCTCCCCCTCATTAAAGCATCACACTGAAACAATACTTAATGATTTTAAAATATGAATTTAATCTCTCTCTAGAAACAGTGCACTGATTTTACAAATGTCCACATTTGGTTTTCAGTTTACCAAGATGATGTCAGTACAGCTAGCGATATGCAACACGCCACCTTCAGTCCCTTTGCCTCTGGAAGAGAAACCAGACTGCAAAGGCACCAAGTACAGAAGCTAATGGAACTCGGAATGACAAGACAAGAATAGTAGAACCAGTTAGTGTGACACAACATTCTAACATGCCTGACTGTTACATCAAATACAGTAATCTGGGGGTGGGTGGGGTGAAGACAAACAAGGAAAATCCACTTGGGTACAATGTGATGGAGTTTGCAAACCAGTACTTTACCCCTAAATTAACAACAGCTTGTATAGAACAAAATGCTATTTTAAAAGTACATGGTTTGTACAGGTATTTGTTTTCTCTTGTAGTTTTTATAAAAAAGTATCAAAACCTTGTCTTTAAATATATATTTATAGAGGTGGCTTTTTAAAAGTTACTTTTTATAGCACAAAGTGTTTGTAAATGCAGAGGGTTTCTGCTGATTCTTGACTGTGCACATGGTGCATAGCCCGAATGAACAGAGCTTCCTGATTTTTTATATTAGCTAAAAATTTGAAGCTGTAATTCCTCCATCTGCTAAATTCTCCCTATCCTGAAAACACCCAGTACCCTAAAAATACAGTAAGAAGACTCTGATACTCTATCTTCATGCATTTATGGGAAAGGAAATTATTTACTCCGAAACTTTTACTGCTAACTCATTTATATTCCGTGAGATGATGAGTGCACGGCTGCAGTACGGGTGGAGAGGCTCACATTCCTGCCCTCCCCATTCCCACCAGCGCCTGGCTGGACAGTGATTGGGGATCCCCTCTCCAGACTCCACAGCTTCCAAATTTCCAGTTTTCTTTTTCACAGTTGAGAAAATCTAAGAGGCTCTTGACAATGTGGTATGTTTCTGTGAAAATCCCACTGCCTTTATATGAGTTTTAATTGAGCATATCAAAAGTCTTTGATGCAGTCAGCATTTCCCTTTGGCCACTGCAAAGCTTCAGGCTGAATGTCATCTCTGCAAAGTGCTGGCACACACATCCTCATCAATTTTCCATGATACGCTTAGTGCCTTGTATACAATAAGTGACCCAAGAAATGCTTGCTTAATTGAATTGGAAATTAAATATAAGTATTTTATAAAGTGCTTACATTGAACCTGTCTTCCTATCTAGCCTCATTTCTTGCTATATCTCCATTGAGCCTTTTGTTCCTGCTATCATGAACTATGTGCATGCAGTTCCTTAAAGTCCCTATGTTGTTTCATGCTTCTGTGTCTTTGCTCAGTGTTTCTTCTGCTTTAAGCAGCTTGGACTCCCTTCTTAATTTTTCAGACTTAGCTTAAGGTCACTTCCCCTATGATGACCCTATTCTTCATCTCCTCAGATAGGATGACCCCTCTTCTCCTTTGTGCCCTAACGATACTCTGAATGGAATCTATTCCTTTTTATTTCCACTTATATCTTTCTCTACTGCTACTGTGAGCTCTCTAAAGACAGAAAAAGTAATTGACTCTTACATCTGCAGTGCCTGGCACACAGTTGGTACCCAGTGAATGGTTTTGTTTTTGGTTTTTTTTGAGTCAGACTCTCACTCTGTTGCCCAGGCTGGAGTGCCGTGGCATCAACTTAGCTCACAGCAACCTCAAATTCTTGGGCTGAATCCTCCTGCCTCAGCCTCCTGAGTAGCTGGGACTACAGGCACCCACCACCATGCTCGGCTAATTTTTTCTATATATTTTTAATTGGGCAATTGTTTCTATTTTTAGTAGAGACGGGGTCTTGCTCTTGCTCAGGCTAGTTTCCAACTCCTGACCTTGAGCGATCCACTGGCCTCGGCCTCCCAGAGTGCAAGGATTACAGGCATGAGCCACCGCGCATGGCCCAGTGAATGGTTTTAATTAATGAATATACTGCAGTCATATAGAGACAACCTTGGAAGGATCAATAGTACTTATTGCCATAAATTTAAATCTGATCTAATACTCTTTTTGCCAGTTGAGGTTACAGGTTACTTTAATCTGTTTTATAAATAATCATGCTATCAAGAGTAAATAAAGTTTTAGTTTTCCCTGTTTCTGGAAGGCCATTTCAGCCAGTGCCTTTGTGATTCCACTGGAAAGATAGGCCATAGGATAGGTAGTAAGTTGGATACAATGTCCAGGCAGCTCAAAGTAGTCTCCTAGAGAAGGTAAGGGAGGGAAAGGACTAGGACTGGCTTCTTATAAATAAAGAAAATATTGTCTGATACATTTTCTGCCCTTTTGGCATTATCTCTAAGCCTCCTTCCAGCCCTATAGTCCAACGACTCTATCATTTGTTATTGGCTTAGAGACTTATGTGTAGGGGGTAAAAGGCAACAGAAATATAGAGCAAAACAAGGCTCAAAAGCCTCTAAGAATAAGGGGAAGGTGGATCTGACTCCTCAGATTTCATTTTATTTTGTGCAATCCAATACATTTCATAATTTGTTTCTTGTAGGTTGCTCCCATAGCAGTTGTATATTCAGGACACGTGGATTTTTCTGAGAAACCTGTGGATTTTATCATCATTTTGAGATCTCAGGCTATATGTCCAGACCCTATTCATTGTTTTTTTCTGTGAAGGTCAGGATCTGGCTGAAAGTTTAGAAAATATGCATTAGCCACTGTTATCATTTAATTCCCTGGAAAATTCAATTTCTCTGGAGAAAGGTTACAGAAAAAGTCACTTGTCTTGTGTAAATTTCAATGTTTTTCACTGTCAACATTTTTCTTCAAAAATAATCTTACTTTCCATTCTTGAAAGAATAGTAGTAAATGATTAAGCTCCATAGGAGTTGGCTGCCTGTTCTTAAAATTGCTTGGTATCGGTCTTTCTAGGTCAACAGCATTTACCCTCACAATCAATGTGTCAGGACTATCAACACATGCATATTGTGAGAAAATTATTGGCTTATGCAAAACACAGTGCCCACACTCTGAACACAGTTGTTTTCTTAGAGGTTAGGAGACCATGAGTGACATAGAGGAAGGTCCTAGGAACAGGATGTTAGAACTCCAGATTGTCTACCTGGAAATTCAAAGGGTATCAAGCTGGTGAGATATACAAGCTTCATTGAGTTGGGGCATCTGGAGGATGAGGGTAGGGAGGCATTTTTGTGTCAAGTTCCAGATATGTTAAAGTTAGATACATGTCCTCTGCTCCTACTTAAGCCAAACACTTCCATGATACACCTGTCCCTGGTTGTCTAGTGGGAGTGAAGTAGCAGAGCAGCAAGAGCTAAGAATATGCCACACTTTGGATGAGAAAGCCCTTGGGGATTAAATTCCTTCTGGGACTGTAGGATTATGTTTCCAATGGTAGACCGCCACAAATAGAAAACAGCACTTCTCCCCATCTCCCCAAAGCCCAGGAAAAGCAAAGAAGATGTCCATGATAAAAAAAATCTATACATATACCCAGAATTTTTCCTTTTATTTACAAAGTAGTAAACCAAATTTCTGTGTGAACATATATATCCAATATACTATAATAGCGTGTATGCCATTTCCCCCCTCAAATATGACTTCAGGTTTGGCTACTTTTTCTGACTTAAGCCAAAAATTAGTTTCATCTACATGAATGTATGATGGTAAGAAACCTATTTATTACTTTAAAATGTTTTCCCTACCTAAAGGAAATGGCAGAGAATGAGGGGAAGGGAGATGTAATAAGAGATGTAATAAAATCTATTCCACCGTCCTTATCCTCATCCACGGCATGTCTCAGAGGTTCAGTGCCTGGGCCATTCTCTACAGTAAACTTGGCCCTTTCTGGAAACATCTCCACTTAGCTCTGTAGGTAAAGTGGCACCCTTCTGGGTGTTTCAGAGGAAACTTACTGAATTTAACCCAAGTGTCCTGAAAGAAATTGAAGAAGTTACTCAAAGAGCTGAACTTTAAGACAAAGAGTAGTTGAGATTTAGGCCTGTTCTATCTCCAGTTCATGAGAGCTCTGGCACTGTGTAATGTCTGTACACTGACCTTAGCCACAGCCAAGAAAGCCCAGGTGGAAGTCACAGCAGCCATGGCTTTTCCTGACCTACTAGAGTCTCAGGAACAACCAGACATGGAAATATCTACCTCTTCCACTACGTGTTTGCACAAACCACGGTATGCTTTCTGAGTCTAATTTCCTAAGTTATCTCTGAAAACTATGGATACCCCTCTTGTGGACTGCTTTAAAATAAAGTTATCTTTACGTATTTGAACAATAGCCATAGGTGTGCCTCTTCTCTATAGATTTTTCTCTGTCACACACATACACATAGAAACACGCAGTCATGTACACACACAGAGTCTGCATGGTGGGCCAATCATACAAAAAATAAATACTCTCACTTCTCTAAATTACTTATAGAACTAACCTTATTTTTGAAATATGTTAATAAATAATCTAAATGGTGGAGGGAGTTGAAGTGGTTTTTCTTTTTTTACTTATGTTGATGGATAGCCACAAAGCATAATCATCTTATTTACAAAAAACAAAACCCCTAAACCTAAAAAGTCCCCCCAAATCAAACATCCTCTGTAAATATAGTTTCTAAATGATGAGTAAGGTACTGTACCATCGGCCCCCATTTGGTTATGTACATTATGTTAGTCACTCAGCAGTAGCCATTCCATGAATTCCTCATGGGTAGTGCAACCAGTTAAAAAGTGTATAAAACATTATACATATAAAAACTCTCACATCCTTTGGATGTTTGCAGTTCATCATAACTTTGTGGTTACCTTTCCGCAACATAAATTAAAAAAAAAATTACACACACACATACACACACACAGACCCATATATAAAAACTCATTCATCCAGTCATACACCATCCAGAGAGTGTAGTGCGTGGGACTGAATTCCATGAGGCACGAAGGGGGTGGTCCCATCCTCAGGGTAGTCCGTCATCTTCAAGGCTTAATGCCACTCGCTGGGGAGACAGACCAAAGAAATGATCATTAGATCCATAAGAGCTACTGTTTATTGAATATCAACAAAGTACCAGACATACTTTATAGGTATTAGCTCACATAATCTTTAAACTACCCCAAGAGACACGATTTATCATATTTATTTCACAGATGAGAAAACTGAAACTCAATGAGGTTAAGTACTGTTTGTTCTGGATCACATAGCAAGTGGCTGAACTAAAATTTAATCCCAGGTCTGTGTAAATACAGAGATGTAGCTTTGTCATCATTCTGTTCTCTCTTTGTAAAGGAGAGCTGCAGAGATCTAAACCTTCTCAATCCTCCCTTATAGGATTTTAGGTTTGGTCAACTTCAGTGGGTTATCTTTGGCAAATGTCAGATCCCAGGCTATTAGCTACTTGTCTTTAGCATGCTAATCATAATTAGGAAGGTATTAATAATATGCTGCACCTTTCCCAACTGATTAAACAGAACTGGAAGGCAATGCAGGTCTATTACATTCAATCCTTCTCTCCTTCACCCCTACTTCCCAGACACTAACCTTGCCTCTGCCACAAACACTGACCACTAGATGGCAAGCCCACTAACCCCTGAGCTAGTCTATTCCCTTGTGGACAGATTTAAATTCTTTTGTATATTAATGTGAAATCTGTTTCTATCTTCTGATGTTCCCTGATTCTATCTCTTAGACTTAAAGAGAGTTCTGTATAGGACAACCCTTGACATTTAGAAATGGTGTTTGAATTCCCTTCCTTTCATTCTGAGTATTTTCTTCTCCAGGATACACATCTAATTTTCCCCGACTGGTCCTGATGTAATCTTGTTTGCCACTCTTCCATTTTCTGGATACTCTCCTTTGGAAAGACACTAGTTTCAGTATCTTTCCTATAGCTATGTGAATTTGTGCTAGTCACTTCACTCCTCTGAGCCTTAGTTTCATCATCTGTCAAATGGGAATAATAATTGGACCTACCTCATAGGGTTGTTGGGAAATCAAATGAGATAAAGCATGTAGAGTGTTTAATAAAGTACCTAATACCACATAGAGTCCAGAGTATTCTACATCAACCCAACCAGCATAAGATAGAAGCAGACTAGTATCTTTCATCTCTGGACATTCTACATAGGATAAAAAGTAACTCCACTGCCTTTCAAGTCATCTTTGGTTTATTTGTGGTTTTATATGAATGCCATGGCCATGGTCCACTAGCATAGATATTTGAGACTACATTACTCTAGTCCAGTCACCCTCCCACCTTCTCCAAGACAGATCTCTGGGCCAAAGATAGGACTCAGCAGTGATGGTAGAGTTACCTGAGAAATGGACAGAGGAGAGAACAGATTGTTGAGAATATTGATTTCCAGAGCTGCAAGGCTACTTACCCCATGATATAATGGAAGGGGCATGGCTTTTGTATATATACAGACTGGAGTTTCAATTCTAGTTCTGCCACTTCCTGGCTATGACCTTAGGCAAGTTATTCAATTTCTTTTATTTTTATTTTTTTTTTTTTGTTTTTTTTTTGACTGTTGGACTGAGAAGTTATTCAATTTCTATGAGTCTCAGTTTCCTCATCTGCAAAATGGGGCTAATAATATCACCTTGATAAGGTTATTATGAAGATTAAATGATAAAACGTATGTAAAATACTGAGAAACGTGTCTGGCACATAATAGGTGCTCACTAAAGGTTGATTTCCTCATTCTATTACTCTATTTCTCTGCAACTGGCAGGAGCTTATACTCAGTCCTTAGACTCAACAGGAGTAACTCCCCCTGAGTCATTTCCTTCTCTGGAAATAATGCCACTTTACATGTGCAGAGAGCTTTGTAATTCACAAAGTGCTCTCACATGTGCTATCTCACTTGTAGTTTATTAGCTTAGGAGGCAGACAGCATAGGGGTTATTGAAAGTGAGAAGAGAAGTGACTAAGATCACAGGGCTGTGGAATGGTGGAACTGGAAGTCATCTTCTTACTCCAAGTTCAATGCTTCTTCCACTATGGCCCCTCTGATCTTAAAAAATTGGTTAAGCAATTATTTCCTTGAACTGGCCGAGGTTAAGGATCCTCAAGGCTGTCTGCTAACTCCCCTCACTTGCTCAACTTCATTTCCCAAGTCTCCCCTTCATGAACAATTTGCTCCAGAAGCAATTCTGTCTTCCCTGCCCCAAATACCATCACTTTCTTTCACATGCCATTTCCTTGGTCTGTGACTAACCCATGTCTCTGCCCCGACACCCGGCTTATAATTAGCAGCCTTCCAGAACCAGAAAGCCTTCTAGGATTGGCTGCACCTTCCTGGGTTCATGCCCTCGCTCACCAGCCCCTCAGACTCAGAGTGGCACTGCCCTACCTTGCACTTGACGACAGGCAGCTCGGAAAGAGGGTTCTTCGGGAGTTGGTGCAGCTGTGACCTTGGTTCCCCCGGCAAGACAAAAAGCTCCTTGAGGGCAGGGGCTGGGTCTTCCAGTTCTCTGGTCTCCCCAAGACAGGGCTCTGCCCACAGTGGGCGATCAAAGCTGCTGATTGCCTGACAGGGGGATGGACTGGATGATCTCTGAGGTCACACTCAGCCCCCTGACTCTGCTGTATGACGATGACACCTGCTGCAGCCACTTCATGGTCCTTGCTCCCACAACAAGCCATGTTCTGTTGTGCCTCTAGGCCTTTGTACATGCATCTGTCTGGAATGCCATTTCCCTCCTCCTCTGCCTGGAACACTGCTATTAATCTTTTCGAGGACAGTTTATATGTCACCCTCTCTCCTTGCCTGATTCCCCAGACAGAATTAACAGCTCCCTTGTAGAGTTTCCATAGCAGTTGTTCAATAAAGGTTTGTTGGGAGTGAGCTATGCTGTGCCAGGCACCAGGAAATCAGACTAATCAGACGATTCTGCCCTCTAGGATTTCACAGTTTAGTGGGGAGGCCACTAAGTTAAAGAGAAGTAGACTATAGTGTGACAAGTGCCGTGATGGAGAGACGTCAAGGGGGCCGTGGAAGAACAAAGTAAGCCAGGGAAAGCTTCCCAGAAGAAGGGACTCCTGAGCATCCACCACGCCACTAGGCACAGAGTTGTACAACCATTACATTAGTGTCTCTAACACCCCCACCAGCTCCTCGGGAGCAAGTATATTCTTTATTTACTTTTGAACACTTGGTATCTAATTGGTGCTTGGCACATAACTGGCATACACTGTTGAAATGAATACATTTGAATGTAATGGCCAGAGTTACCCTTCTAGGTCAAAGGTTCTGAAAACTAACTCAGCAGAAAGAAGGACATTCTTTGGCTTCTTTACTACCAGCAAGAGCCTCTAGGCACAGGGTGGTCCTGATAGCCTTTACCCCAACCACTTTCCCAGCATTTCTGTGTTCCCCAGGGGCTACAACAGTGCCTGGTACATGGTACATTCTTGATAAATGTTGGAAGGAACGAAGGAACGAAGGAACGAAGGAAGGAAGGAAGGAAGGAAGGAAGGAAGGAAGGAAGGAAGGAAGGAAGGAAGGGAGGGAGGAAGGGAGGGAAGAAGGAAGGAGGAAAGGGAGGGAAGAAGGACAGGAGGGAAGGACAGAAAGGTAGCAATTCTCCCAGCCAGAAAAACTTACTGCAGGATAGACATGGCCAATCTGAGCAGTCCTCCCTATATGGAGCTCATCTTCATCTTCTTCTTCTGTTGTTTTCCTGTATACTGGGTTGTCAAAATTCATGCTCTTGGTGTTCTTCCGCTTCCAGTTTCTCCAGATCAGGTAGCCACTCATGCACAGCAGGGCTATTACCGCTGGAGGAAAGGACACGTTACGCTGGACCTCCAGCAGGCTGCAGCCCATTGCCCAGACATCAGTGCATATCTTGCCACCACTCCAACTGTACTGCCCCTTGCACCTCAGGTTCTGTGTTCTTTTCTGCTGCTTGGAAGCCCTTCTCTCATCCCTTCTTTCCATCATTAACAACTCATCCTTCCAGATCCAGCTGAAATGTGAAGTCTTCCCCAACTGCTCTAGGCAGAGCCAGCTGCTGTCTCATGGGTGCTCCCAGACCACAGTACCTTCCTTTCTATGTCTGTACCCCCAGCTAGACTGAGCCTTTGAGGGCAGGGACTGTGTCTCTTGCATCTCTTTATGCTCAGTGCCTAGCAACGAAATAGGTGCTCAGTAATGTGCTGAATGAATGAATGAGTGAATTTCTTTACCATGCCTTTACCCTAATGCTGCTGTTTTCTTAGATTGCTCTAAGAAAACCATTCTTTCCCAAAATTGGAGGGTGGAGAATGGGATGGGTGGGATGGGATGTTTCTTTCCAAAGGTAGGATGCCACCAGAGGGGAACATCTCTAGAAGGGGACACAGCAGGGTAACACTGGCTCAGAGTTAGAATAGATGGATAAATGAATCAGTAAAGGAGTAGGCTCTCTCTAACAGAGCTGGGCAGAAATGGAGCAAGCAGCTTTGTAAGGTATTAAGAGTAAGCAATCACTCTGACCATTCAAGTGGAGGCTGGAGGATCACCTGGCTAGGGTGCTATAAGGGGCATTTCTGTTTCAGTAAGATTACAGTAATTGATACGCATTAAAGATAGGAACAAGGCAAGGATACCTGTGATCACTGCTACTGTTTACTGTCCTGGAAATCTTACTATACAGTAAGACCAGAAAAAAAATTAAAGGTATAAATATGGAAAGGAAGAAACCAAACTGCTATTATTAACAGCTATTTGAGTGTTTAGAAAATCTTAGAGAAGTAGAAAGAAATACAGAAGTAAAAAAAATTGAAATTTATGTATGGCAAAAGATAGCATAATCAAATTTTAAAATCAAGTGTCAGACTGGGAGAAAATATTTGTAACATATATTGTAAAGGCCTAATATTCATTATGTATAAATATTTCTATAAGTAAGAATAAGGTAACCAATAGAAAAATAATAAAAGACTGTGAATAGGTAATTCATAAAGGATAAAATATAAATAAATAGCCAATAATCTTATGAAAACATACTCTACCTCAAAGAGAAGTATCAGGGAAATAATATTCATCTTTCATCCCTGAGATTAGCAGAAATTAAAAATATTGATTATGTCAGAGTGGGCTAGATCAGTTAAACAGCACACACATGCCTCTTTCTATAGAGCATAGGATGGCAAGAAGGGGTAGATAAGTCTTTCTCCCACTCCACATAAAATAAGCATGACATTATAGTCTCACTATCATTGTTTGTGGTGAAGACTTTCAAGGCCAATTCAAATGTCATCTTCTCCAGAAGCTTCACTTTTACACTGGAATTACCTTTCCTTCCACTGTTCCTCCACAGGAATATGGTGCCTTAGCATGTGTCTATATCTAACATGTGTCTATATGCCTCTATTATAGCACATTATAGTATGTATTAACACCTATCTTGCAGGACTTATTTATGCTTAGTCTGATTAAAGACCGAAAGCTCTTAAAGTCTTTATTTTACTCTTCCCTGGACTGTGGGCACTTGGCATAGTGTCTTGAATTAAGGGAAAACAGGGAAGAAGTTTTTAAAACATTCACTCACTAACTCACCACCATACTGAGGATTCCCAGGATAAAAGGACAGAGTTCCTGTCTTTGAGGTACTCATGGGCAAGTAAGGGAGATGAACCTATGAATGGACGATCACAGCTTCAGATACTGCCAAGAGATGCAGCTGGTATGAGAGACACTATGTGAACACTATGTACAGGACACTATGTGAACATCGAAGTGGGAAAGAAGGAGTCAACCCCCGTGGCTGTCTGTGAGGTCTTAACCAAATGCTATACTCTGGCCATACGGAACTCCTAGTTCTAACCCCGCCCCACCCGCACATGCCATTTCCCATGCCTGGCTTTGTTCGCACTGTCTTCACTGCTTAGGTTGCTCTTGATCCTTCTCCTCTTGGCTGGCTCAGCTCCAGTATCATTTCCACTAGGAAACCTTCCCTGCCCTCTTCCCCTCTCCTCCAGGCAAAGCCAGGTGCATCCCCAGCACTTTCACCGAACTCAACACATACAGCTTAACCTTAGGATTTACCACGTCATAATGAACTTATCTGTGTTATGTGCATCTTTCCAACAAGACTATACACTTTTGTAGGGCAGGGTCTTGTCTTATTCATCTTTAGCCACCTTCTCTCCCCTTATCACAGAGTTTGGCACATAGTAGCTGCTTGATAAATGTTTGTTGAAAACCAAACAGAAAGCAAGACAGCATGACTTATTAAAGGAATGGCAAGCAGTTCTGCTAATTGATTCAACAAACATTTGACTTCCTACCAGGTGCCAGCCATTGCTAGGAGCTGGAGATAGTGGTAAGCAAGAGAGACACCAGCCCTATCCCAGGGAGCATACCATATCACTTCACCTGGCTGGAGTGTAAAGTGTGAATGAAGCGGGAAATGGCAGATGCACCTGGATGGTTGCCTGGGGCCAGGTCATGAGGAGCCCTGTGCCAGGCTAAGAGACCAAATTAAATCAGGACTGGGAAGAGGGCGGGAAGGCTGCTAGGGCAGAACAAGTCAGTGAGGTAGGTCAGTGTGCCAGGTTTTCTAACTTTCTAGTGCTTTTCCCCAGGCCTGGGCAGGGTCTCTCTTCTCTCCCCAGTGACTTGGGGCCACACTCACCTATGGGCACGATGATCCCAATGACAGCAGCAGTGACCGTTGAGCCCATCTTACCATCTTCATTCCCATCTGCAAAACACAAACATTTGCAGACTGATGCTCCGTCACTGTGAGTCCAAGCCCTTCCTGGCTTCAAGCAGTAAGAACTACCCAAATGCTTCTCATCCTCATTCTAAAATGATCCTGGCTAATGCTTAATAATTCTTTCATCCTAGCAAAACTTCTGTGAGGCAAGTATAACAGAGGTTATCTTCATTTCACAGATGGGGAAACTGAGTTTTACTGAGGGGGCTTGGGACTCATAGATAAGTGCCAGAGCTGGGACTTGAACCCAGGACTCATGACCAAGTCTTACTCCCTTCCCACGGCATCACAGTGGTAGGAAGCTGGGGGCTGTGCATGGCAAGGTGAGTGAGCACTTAGGTCTTTCTGTTGCTGACCAACCAGGTCATTTGCCTTTTTCAGCCAGTATGCGTTACTTTGTCAGTGTTGTTTTTGGTGGTCTGTCTCAATCTGTTATTATCAGTTTATTTTTCATAAGTAATTAAAATGGGACATAGTGTATTATGGTAGAATCCAGAGCACAGGTTTCTGCAAAAGACTTCTTGAATTCAAATCCCAGCACTACTATGTACTACTTATGTGACCTTGGGCAAGGTATTATATATTGTAAATACAACATGTTATATTACACTTCTTTATCATCAAAATAGGGATACTGACATTACCTACCTCCTAGGGATATGGTAAGGACTAATTCATAAAAAATGCTTGGCACAGTGCCTGGCACAACCTTGCCTAATTCAAAGAGGGTGGACAATGGGGTCAGGGTTGTCATGAGGTCTAAATAAAAAAAAGATATATAAAAGCACATTCTAAACTGATACGTGCTAGGGAAATATACTGTGTATAAATATACTTTTTTTTTTTTTTGAGACAGGGTTTTGCTCTGCTGTCCAGGCTGGAGTGCAGTGGCATCATCATAGCTCACTGCAGTCTTGAGTTCCTGGACTCAAGTGATCCACATACCTCAGCCTCTGGAGTAGCTAGGACTACAGGTGCACACCACCAATCCTGGCTAATTTTATCTTTTGTTCGAGATGACGTCTCGCTATGTGGCCCAGGCTGATCTTGAACTCCTGGCCTCAAGCAATCCTCCCACTTGGGCCTCCCAAAGTGCTGAGAGTATAGGCGGGAGCCATCACCTCCGGCTTATACTATATTTTTGAAAGCATATGCTGTGCTGTCTTTCTCACTCTTACAACCATCTTCACTACAACATTTGTACAGATAGCACTTTATAGTTTAGAAAGCATTTTTCCCTGGGATCCTCCAGACAGCCCTCTGAGGCGGGAAGAGGAGCTGTCATCTGCATTTGCTCCAAGTGAGGAGATGACTGCCCCCAGCAACGGCCCAAATCCCATCCTTGCAATGCGTCTGTTTCTCCACATTACTGCAAGGGAATCTAGCTATTTGGGGCAGAAAAGAGCTGCTCTGCTTACAGAGCTAACTGTGGAAATGCCAGTGTCCTCTTGCTCCGGGGCCAGAGCAAACACTGGACCGCGATATTGAAACCTAGAGCACAATGAAGCCCGCGGGCAGAGGCCCTGCCCCCATATGCCTCAGAGGGACTGGAATTCACATATTCCACCTGTCTCTTGCAGAGGGTAAGTGCTCCACTCTGCAAACCCAGCGTCTGCTGGCAGAACAGGACTGATTAGACAGGTGCTGCCAAGCTGCTTGGTTTCTGGGCCATCCATGTACGGGAAAACATTTACAAGACAGTTTATCCTTTTAGATGAACTCCCCCTGGCAGGTAACTCAATTAAAAAGGTATTTGCTGGTTAATGAGATAGAACATTTCTAGCAGTGACAATTACTGCTCCCAATGATTTAATAAGTGATGAACTTAATTATTTTCATCCCAGGGTTTGGAAAGAGGCACGAGCAGACCATAGTTATGGATGTTGCTATCTGGGGAGCTTACAAAGGCCACTGGGAACTGAAATCAGAGCTTTCCAAACCTGAGGGACACCTCCTCATAAACACGTCAGCAACTCTTGAAACGCATGCATACACACGCCAGAGCCAGCAGCGGCTGTGCATGCGAGCACTTCCAGCTACTCTGCCTCCTTTGTCTCTCATGGCCATCTTGTGAAGCAGATTGGGGAAGGGCTATTATGATTCCCGCTTTGTAGGAGAGGAAACTGAGGCTTAGGGATAGGATGTTGCTTCCCTCTGCTGCTCTCTATCAGGTAGGGGCAGCTAAGAGGCCTAAATCGCAGGCCGGCACTCTACCTGCCCCGCTTCCTCCTCAGGGATAGAGTGTTCAGCTCTGGTCTGTTCTTCTCTTCCCACATACCCCCCATCCTGGCTTCCCTAGGACCCTCCCATGTCATGAAAGAAAACAGAACTCGTTTCCTTACAGTGCTGGGAGTGGTTGCTGGTTGCAGGGCTTGGGGTAGACGGGCTGATGCTGGGAGCCCTGGGGACACTAACTGAGCTTGGGACCGCAGCCGCCGGGCTTGGTGTCTCTGTGCTGCGGTTCTGGTAGGTGGGGCTGTGGACGGTGGTCCCAGGGGCTCTTGTGATGGCGGGTACTGTCCTCGTTGTGGCAGAGGCTAACGTCGTAGTTGAGGTAGATTGAGGTGCTGGAGGGGAGATACCATGGAGGTCACTTGGACAGAGAATTTTGTTGCTTTAATGCCTAAGATATTGCCTCTGAGTTGTACTTAGGAACTCATTCTCATGGCTAAGCTCAAATGCCACTTCTGGGAAGCCTTTCCTAATCCCTGAATGGGCTACGATCTTCTCCTTAGCTGAATCCTAAGCACTTCACTTGGATTCAATAAAGATGAGTCATTAAAACAATGCTATAGAATTAGGTGTGGGCAAGACCACTGTCAAAGATGGGTGGGAGGGAAAATCATATAAATCTAGAAAGGATTTTACACTCATATTGTTATACCATTAGGTTTAAATTCTTACTCCACTTGAAACAACTGAACCTGGCTGCAGCAGATGTATGCCCAAGTAAAAGGCCTTGGCTGTACATCAAGATTGGAAATGAGTGTAATTATTTATGTAGTTGAAGTATTAACTATTAGGGGTAGGCCAGTCATACTGCAAAGGGCTTCTGTGTAGTGTATTAAGTAAGAAATAGATAAACACAGTTATCTGCATATGAAAGATAACAGAAACCATGGAGATTATGAGTTCTTAACTTGAGTTTTCCAAGGGGTTCCAGAAACTCCCTGAAACTGAATTAAAAATGTTTTATGTGTATGTGTATTTTTTCTTGGGAGTGAGAAAAGAGAGCCTTAGAAGGACCTTGGGGGCATGAACGTTCAAGGAAGGTGAAAAGGAAGTGCCTGCAAAGGCAATGTGTGGCCAGAGAGGATGGAGGGAAACCAGGAGCATATTGGGTCCAGAAGCGAAGGGAAGACTTCAGCAGGGTACGGTCTGGCACTGCCAGGGGCCACCCCTCCGGAAGCTCTGCTTACCTCGGTAGCACCTCTTCATGTCTGGGCCGAGCCACATTGTGTCCGGACAGGCACACGTGTACTTAGGAGAGTGGCTGGAGGTCTGAGGAGCAGGAAGGCACAGGTACTCACAGCCTCCATTAGGCTGGGCACTCAGCTCGCAGGCATCTGCAGCTAATGCAGAGAGAGACACAGGTGGGGCACAGACGGGACATGCCAGGTCCTCCTGCCTCCCGAGGGTGCCTCTCCCACTGGGCTTGCTCAAAAAGCTATCCCTACCACTTCTTATCAGGTATCATCCAGTACTGTATGTGATTGGTGTTTTATCTCTGCACTCTCATTTAATCCTTACAACATGGTAAAGATGCCGAGGCTCAAAGAGAACAAACTTGTCAAAGCTCTACCTCTAGGAATTTTAGAAACAATTTAAATTGAGGTCTGTTGGACTCCAAAGCCCATAGGTTTTTTTCTTTTTCCCTGCCTATGCCACATGCTATGCCTCTCACTTAAATTTCTAGATCTAGAATCAGGCACCAATCTCCTTACCCTCCTTTGCTTTCCCACCTTTGCCCTGGCAGCCAACACCTGTTACAGTTGGAACTGGTATATCCTACTGATGGAGGGGGGGACAACCTAGTGGTGGGATTCCTGGATTCTATTCCCAATGAACAAGCTGACTTCTTATATGGCCTTAGGATACATAAAATGGGTACAAATAGCAAACGAGATGCCATGTGTCATGCCAGAAGGAGCTTTAGAATCAGATAGACCTGAGCTTAACTTTTAGTTCTGCTAACTGCTAACATTATTTTACCTCTCTGAGCTTTAGTTTCCTCAACTATTAAAAAGAGGAGAGAATTACCCAAACACTTGGTAGGACTGGCAAAAATTAGACATTTATACATTCTTTTATACCCAGCCTTATTTCACAAAGAGCTTGAGGCAAAATGAGACAAAAATATATAATGACAAGACACTCTGACAACAAGAGGATTGTTGCTATTATTCCTGTGGTGCTGAGTTGTGACATGAATGTGAACACAGCCTACCTAGTGGAGGGAGAGGACACAGGCAGGGGGCCTGGGACCTAGGACCAGAGATGGCTCACCTCTTGGCTGCTTCAGCTCATGGAAGATAACAATGTCATGTGGGTTATTGAGGTTCTCAGCCAGGATGGAGATTTCCAGGCCATTGAGCCGATTTGCACTGAAAATGGCCTCATTCTCCAGGTCTGTCCAGAACACCTTGTCCTGAGGGGAACAGATGCAAAAGGATGGGAGGCCTAGAGTCTGAACCCATGACTTCAGTCTGAGGGCTCAGCCCCAAACCACAGCCACAAGAATTGCCCTAAAATCTCCCCGAGCCATCCTGTCCACAGTGGGACTCTTAGCCTCTGACATACACTTTCCTGGTTCTCCTCTGTCGTAGATGATTATTTGGTGATTGTGTGCTTTGGCCTGAAGGCCACAGAGCTACTGGTTAAACGTTTGGTTGGGCCTGCTTCCTGGAGCCCAGCAGAAACCCGAAGTTGGATCTCTATAGCTATTACCACTACTGGGGCCTGGGACCAAGATTTGGGGGGATGTAGAGCTACTAAGGGCTGTCTGTCCCCTGCTGGGCCTCCTACCGATTCTGGGCACATACACATAGGAGTCCACATGGTACGTCCATACAAGCCCAGATGTGCACCTATAGGCTAATCCACATTTATAGGTAAACCATGTGTCCTCAAACACAGATCTAGAACATACCTGAATGCTCATCTATACACACAAAGGCACACTTGTACCTAAATAAGCAGTCTAAATCCATATTGGTATACATGTTTACACCCATAAGTGCCAACACATGTGGGTATGCACACATTTACCCTGAGGCAGTTATATATACACATGCATGTACACATATTTTACATGTACATGCCACCTATATGCACAAACACATACACATGTGTCCCAACACACCTGTCTTTTGGGGGGCTGGACTTAGAGGTGGACCTTTGCCCGCAATTTCAGAGCAGTGCTGAGTGATGTTGCTCTAAGCAAATACTGCCAATGCCCGTCACAGACCGCTGGTCTCTTGCTTTCCCTCCCCTTGGTGGCCGAGTTAGGGTCAGGGCACAGGAAAGTCTTGATTCCTCACCTTCCTGGGAGCTTCTTGAGGACTGGGATAGTGCCTGATTCACTTCTATGACCCCAGGGTCTGGCACAGGTCGACAAAAGTGTGCTGGATTGAATATTATCTCTCAGGCCATCTCCTACAGTAAGTGATTCTAAGGAAATGTATATTCCTTCTTCCCTTCCTCCCTTTGGGCGCCTGCTGTGTATGTGGTTCAGTGCTGGGTGCTGGGGGCACAGAAAGGAAACATACATGCCTGGCAACTCATCTGTGAGCAGTGCTCTGAGACAGGGGCCTTGGGCAGGCAGCACAGGCACCAGGCAGGCAGGGCTGCAGAGCCTTTGTGTGCAGGCAGCTCACAAACCGTGCACAAACGAGTCAGCGAATTTCCCTGTTTCGTTGTTTCCATCTGGACGAGTCTCAGGGAGTAGTTCTATTTGAACAAGCTTCTCTTGGCTTTAGCTCCTTAGTGGGGACGTACCTCCCCTCACGGAACTCACCTCGAACACAGCGATCCCAAAAGGGTGGCTCAGGAAGTCGGTGGAGGAAATCAGCATCTTTCTGTTGCCGCCACTGAAGTCGATGCTGGACAGCTGGTGGAGCTTGGAGTCCACCCAGTACAAGCGCTGGTTCAGCAAATCTTGGAAAGGAAGAGGGGAGGGAGGATCAGGTCGTGAGCTTGGGACCCCAGCCTGGAGCTCTGCTTCTCTGTGTCCCCTCCTGTATACATTTCCAGGCCTCATACTGAGGCCAGCCTGGGGCAATGATCTGGGAACAAAGGCACTGGCTCCATGGGGGACCCAGAAACGACCGTGGAGTCCCAGACAGAGGGCAGGATCAGGTGCTAGAACAGGCGCCCACCCAGGAAAGGCAGGGCTCACCCAGGGCGATTCCATTGGGCCATTCAACGTTGTCTGACACCAGTGTTTGCCGGTCCACACCGTTGAGCCCAGACTTCTCGATCTTGGCCTGGTACCCCCAGTCAGACCAATACATGAACCTATAAGACAAAAGAACCCAGTCTGACTTATTGTTGGGGACATGATTAGGGTGGTCTGAGTCATAGGCTTAATGACCCACTGAATCATTGAGGACTATGCTTAGTGGGCACTGGGAAGACCTCTGAAATCCTTTGGAACCCTCAAATCTTAGAATTAGCAGGCACGGCAGCCTTCACCTCGTTGGAGAACTTGAAGCAGCCTATGCTCCCCAACATTCCACCCAGCCTCGGCCGAACAGCCCGTCTCTCCCACTCTGGCAGCTGTAAGTAGAGCCTCAGAGTGTCCTTGTGGAAAGGGGCCCTAGTCAACCCTCCCTTTCCTGGTTTACAGACGAGAAAGTGGATGGTCTTCCTAACTCGGGTAGCCCTCCCTGCTCTGCCTCCTCAGGCCTGCAAGGGCAGGTAGCAGCACGCTGTTACTAATCCAAGGTAGTACATTAGGCCTTACCCGCTCCTTTGTAAATAGCCTCTTTATTAAACCCTCCTCCAATTACCTTGGTTTGGGTATACAGTGGGGTTCTGCCTGGAACCCTGACAGACCCACAATGGATTGGGGTTGGGTTGCGCCTAACTGCATGGCTGGGGGTGGGGCAGGGTGTGGCCAACGTGGCACTAGGTCTACGTGAGAGGAGACAGGGAGCAGGGCTGAAGGGAGAGTTCGGTGAGAAGGCACAGTGTCTGTCAGAGTGCCTAGGACTGTGCTGGGGCACCTGACACATGCTGGGCAAATGGCAGCTGTCAGTCACTTCCCAAGCCCTCGCTACCCTCTCACGCGGCCACTCCCCTCACCAGCTGTCCTCACTTGAGGAAGAGAGTGTTCCTATCCTTGTTTAAGTATTAAGGAAACAACAGTAGGAAGAAGCTGGTGATACTGGTAAACATAACATGATACAGCTGCTAAAAAACTGATGCCATCTAAGACATTCCCACTGATGGAGAGAGGGGTCCTGTTCTGTTCAGAATTCCTAACCCCCAAAACTGAGGTGTGGCCAGGGCAGCCGAGGGGGCGAAGGGCCCAGAGACGGAGGGCAGCAGGGGTGGGGCTGGGGTGGGCAGGCGGTAGACATACTTCATGTAACTCCAGAGGCCAACGGAGAAAGCATAGGGAGACAAATTTGGGATTATGAGGGGGAAAAAACCACTTTCTAATGGGAAGAGCTGCCTCACAATGAAACAGGCCCTACAGGAAAGAAAGTAATGAGCTCCCTGTCTCTGGAAGTATGTGAGCAACTGCCAGACGCCCACCCGCAGCATCCTGAGGAAAGGTTTCCTCCCAAGAAGCTTCTATCAGGCAATCTCTCAAGCTCCACTCTGTTCTTGGATGCTCTGATTCTGTGATAACATGAGTGAGCAGGAGGGGTCGGGGAGAACTCCGGTGACCAATGCCCCAAAACCCTTGGTCAGGGCCTAACAGGACGAGGGGCGTGCACGGGCTTTCTTCCTCGTGGCCTGTGTCTGAACAGCCTAGAGCCCTCTAGAGCCCGTAAGATAGTTAAGGGAGCTCTTGTGACAAACACAAAGACTGAGCACCTATGCTGAGAATGGAAAGTTCAGGGAGGAGACACTCACCCTCGCAGAGGGTCGACAGCAATGGCCCGGGGTTCACTGAGGTTATGGCTGAAGAGGGTGCAGCGGCGGCCGCCATCAACTGTGGCCACTGAGATGGTCTTATTGCCCGAGTCGGTCCAGTAGATGTGCTTGTGCACCCAGTCCACCGCCAGGCCCTCCGGGGAGTGCAGCTGCTCGTCGATGAGGACCTCTTGCTCGGCCGGGTCACTGGCCTTGTCCATGTAGGCGCTTAGGAGAAACCAGAGATGGCTATGGGGCAGAGGTTCTACCTATGGGCCCATCTGGAGCTGCCCTTCCCCTCTCTCTCTTCCTTTTGGGCCATGGCAGTGGATTTTAGAGGAACTTGGCTAATTTCCATTCAACACATTCCCTGGGCCACCAGAGTAGAGACACGGGCGTGAATCAGTCACAGTCTCTGCCTTGGAGGAGCTGTGGGGGACAGAATCTTGCAGCCAGATAAAACACAATGTGATTACAGAAAGCACTAGGAGCTACAGCAGCAGAGACATGGAGACTACATCATCTGGGAGGGCAGAAGGCTTTGTACTTGAGTCCTGAAGGACTAATTCACCAGGAACAAAGGACAGAAAGCTATTCAGGCAATGGGAACAGCACATGCAAATGCCCAGGGTGAGTATGTTCTGGAACAGTGAGATGTTCAGTGAGGTAGAACAGGGTATGTGGATGTAAGACTCGAGACATGTGCAGGCAGGGACCACACCCTGACGGGCTCCGAGTGCCATGCTAAGGAATTAGGACTTTATCCTGGGGAAAGGGGTAGGGGTGGTCACTGAACAGGTCAGAGAACATAGACCCTCTGTGATCACTGTGGCGTGAGTGGAGTGGCTGGGCTGGAAGGAGAGGGAATGAGGGCAGGGAAAGCTGGTTGGAAGGCTGTCACAGCGCCTGGGTGAGAGATGACGAGGACGTGCAGTGAGAATGGAGAGAAGGGAGGATGACACAGTAGACACTTGGGAGGCGACATTAGCAAGACTTCCCAAATACTGGGTTCTCCAAGGTCGTCTTCTCCCCCACACCCTTCTGGGGTAACTAGTCCCACAGTGCCCACTGCCTTCCCCAACTGACCTTCCAATCCTGACAGCTCTCTCAAGTTCCAGACTGCAAAGCCAACCAGCTCCCCTTGGATGTCCCATGGGCACCTTGAACTCAGCATGTCCAAAACTGCTCAGCCCTGCTCCACTCCTCGCAGCCAAACAGACAGACTGCACGACCCCAACCCGGATCCTCCTCCAGTGCGTCCCATCTCGGAGAGCAGCACTATTGTCCGTGAAACCTCCCACGCTAGAAATCTGAAACTCCCAGAATTAACCTGGGAGTGAATTTTGACCCTTCCTCCTTCAGGCCCATATTCAATCTGTCATCAAACCCTGCCTCTTTCGGTCATTGCTGGCAGGCGCTGCTCTCGCTGTCTCTGGGAGTGCAAGCGTGAGCTGAGTGAGTCTGTGACAGGGAAGGCCGGGAGCCAGTTGTCAGTGAGTAGCACTTGGCACAGTTGCTTCCATCCGCTCATCTACCCTCCGTCCGTCACTCAACAGCGAGTCAGCGTCCGCCAGCGCCGAGTCAGTGGCAGTCCTGCCAGGTGACTCTCAGGACAGAGCAAGGACATGGCTGCCCAAGGGGGGGCTGGACATGCAGGGAGGCAGGCTGGTGGCATCTGAGATGCCCGAGGAGAAACGCTCCTCAGTGTGTGAAGAGCTTCCCAGGCACCAAAGTCCACTGACTGTGGCGTCATGGAGGCAGTGAAGGGCTGGCCTGGGGGTAGCGCCCGCCAGGAACATGTCCCAGACCCCCAGATTGGGCCAGAGCCCTCCTCTGTACTTTCCTTTGTGATCATCACAACAGATTTCATTATGTTATGAGTGGGACCCTCTCACCTCCCAGGGACCAGGTCTGAGTCATCTTTGAGTCCCCAGGGTCTCACACACAGATACGTGAGCTGCCTTGAAAGTCCTCCCTAAAGCCAGGATTTCTTCCTTTCTGTTTCTTGTGTCTTGCACTTCCCCAGAAGGCCACCAGAGGTCAGACAAGGTCCAGGTGTTTCGGGCTCGAAGCACTCACCCAACAGAGCCCTCAGCCTAGGCTGGCCCAGGGGGTAAAGTCCCGAAGGTTCCACACCCACTGTGGTCCTGAATCCCTTCCCAAGCCCCGCTCTGCTCTGAGAAACCCTAGAGGCAGAGGCCATCCTTCCTCCACTCATCTGTCAGCCACCTGCCACTCCCACCTCTGCAGGCCTGGCTGCAGGGGACATGCCACTCACCTATAGATCTTGCGGTATGACAGGTCACACCAGTAGATGCGATTGGTGGCAACTTCCACATCTAGTGCCACAACATTCTTGAGCATGGGGATGAGGCGAGAGTAGTCCCGCTTCACCAGGTCTATCTTCCGCACCTCATGCCGGTTGGTGAAGATGAGGGATGGGCTCTTGCCAGCTGCCACGTGGAGGTGGGGTGGGAGAGAAAGGGTCAGTGCAAGAGGCAGGGAGTCTGCACGCCAAGACTCTGCCACTGCTTTGCCGGGTGATACCTCATTGTCCTATAAAATAGGGGTGATAATTCCTACTTCACAGGTTAGATGAGCTAATGAAATCATGAGTACAAAAAGCATAAAACGCAAAGCACCATGCATCACAGGATTTTTATCCTTTTTATTAGCTATAAATGACCCCAAATCTTTTATGACTCCCCATTTCCTCCTTAGGCCTGTACCAAAAAGCCTCCTGCGGTGTGACCTCCCAGCCCCTGTCCATCCTCATCGCTTGCCCCTCCAACAGACCTGGATTCCAGCTACCAGATATCTGTCAACAGCCAGCCAAGGAAGGGACTTGCTGCCTCAGGGCCTTCGCTTTAATTGCCCCTTGCACCCAGCGTGCATTTCTTTCCAGCAACTACCACCTTCTCTGCTTGGGGCCACACTGCCATAGTTCAAGGACCCACCTGAGCAAATAAGTGTGTTAGAAGGATAACTGAGCACGGAGGACAGACAGCAGGGCTGGGACCAGAGGGAGCAGATCCCCAAGGGGAGATTGGCAGGGGCCCAGATCACGAAGGGTCCTGTGAGCTGGGTTAATAGTTTGTTCTTTAACCTGAGCCAATGGCAGAGATGGGGCATGTGTGATATGACAGAGATTATATACATGCAGTGCAGACAACACATAATTGCCCATAAATACACGAAACACATTTTTAGACTTAGGATTAGATTTTAAGAAGATCATCAGTGACCTAGACATTCCTGGCTACTCCACATGGAAGGCCACTGTACCACAGGCCTATGAGGGCCGAGCACCAGCTCCCACAGGCTGTTTTCAGATAAGTATTGGGCCACTCTCAGGCACCAACACTGTCTGAGTGGCAGCTCCTAGCAGCACTTGTCCATGAAGCTGCCTATGCCTTCTCCCTCTCTTGTTTTCCAGCTGACACTTCTGCCGGCCACCTGGTCCCTGTCATTATGCATCTGTGCCAGGCTATGTGTTCCCCGGGGGCAGGCTGGGACCAGCAGAGCCATGTAGGACCTGGGGCTGGGTATGTGATCTGTATGTAGTGACAGAGGCTATTTTAAAGCAGGGTGGGGGTGAGGCAGAGGGTGTGATATGAATAGACAGCACAGAAAATGGGTCCAAAGTGTAGGACGGGGCAAAAAGCTGGGTTCTAGGGCCAGCTCTGCCACTGACAAACTGTGATTTTCTCACCCCGAAATGAGAGCAATGACTTTACTTCCTTGAAGGCAGGAGCTAGGTTAGAGGCGCATGTTGAAGTGATTTTCAATGAGAGCAGAGTCTGTGACAGGGACCATGTGTACTACTTACGAGTTGAGATTTTGTGGAACTGCGCTTTAGATATTTATAGGTGTAGAGTGTGTGTGTATGCACGGGCAGTTGTGTGTTCTCCACACTGCTTGTATATAATCTGTGTCATAGATTACAAGTGTCCTGTGTGGGGGCAAGAACAGGGCACGTTACATGCGATACACTAATGTATGTCTTGTGTACCGTAGAGTTTGGGTGGTACGTTTTTTGGGTGTGTGGGCTACATGTCCAGTGTTGTGGCTGCTGCGTTGTAAGATAATCTGTATGTTGCATATTGTATTTGTGCACGTGAACTCCAGACTCGCACAGCCAACTGCCTACTCAGTGTCTCTGTTTGGACGTCTAACAGTTTCCTTAAACTTACCACGTCCAAAACAGTCTCACCGTCTTTCTCAGATCCATAAATAGAAATTCTATTTTTTCAGTTGCTTGGCTGAAAGCCTCGGAGTCATCTTTGACTCCTTTTTTTCTCTCACATCCCACATTCAATTCATAAGCAAACCCCTTTGGCTGCCTTCCCGATTCATCTGCAGTCTGTCCACTTCTCGTTCCCTCAACGGCAGGCACCCTGGGCCAGGCCACCGTCACCTCTCTCCTGGATTCCTGCAACAGCCTCTCAGCGGTTTCCCTGCTTCCTCCCTGCCCTCCCCAGTCTGTTCTCAACACTGCAGTCAGAGGGAGCCACCATGTCCCCGCTCTACTCAAAGCCCTCAGGGCTTCCCCCTGGCTAAGGGTACCACCCAGAATCAGCTCTCACAGCGATCTAGAAGAGAAGGCCCTTTGGGATCTGGCCCGAGTCACCTCTGATGTCATCTCTTCCTAGTCTATTGGCTCCAGCTGCATCTGCTTCCTTGCTGTTCCTTGAACATCCCGGCACGCTCCTGCCTAAGGCTGCTGCAGTTTCTGTGCCTGCAGGCTGAAATGCTATTCCTGCAGACAACTGTGTGGCTCACGCCCTCGCCTTCCTTACTCAAATGCCACCTTCTCTGTGAGGGCTTCCTCGACCATTCTATTTAAAACTATCACCCACTGCCCCCCTGGACTTCCTTATTCCCTATTCATACTTTATATGTCTCCTTAGCCCTCATCGCCATCTGCCATGCACTATATTTATCTGATTTCTTGTTGTCTCAGCCATTAAAATATAAGTCCCACCAGGGCAGACAGGGATTTGTGTCTGTTTTGCTAACTACTGAATCCCTAGCTCCTACAACATCGTTAGGTTCTCCATATAAACAATTGGATAGAATAGATGAATTCAGTTGGCTGGACTGACCAATGTGTCAGTCTGCACAGGTCACCCTCTTTGTGTGGGCTGCCTATGCTTGTGTGCAGTCTGCACGGTCCAAGTGTGTGTCCATACACTCTGTCGTGTGCGTGTACTCTCTGTGGGCCGTACTGGGTGGCTCTAGCCAGTGTCTGTGTGGGTGTCTGTGCAGTGCATTGTGTGTGTGATGGATATTCACACTTTGGGCACCGCGTGTGCAACCTGCACATGTGCACATTTGCTCCTCACATATGTGGAAGCACGCCGCTTCCTGTACCCTCTTCAAGCTGCCCACTCGCCCTTGGGGTGTCCATACCAACAGCCTTGCAGTTCTTGGTCAGTGTGTCCATCTCGTAGCCAGGGTGGCACTCGCACTTAAAGTAGCCCTTGTAGTTGACACAGATCTGGCTGCAGGCATCTGGGTCTTCACACTCGTCGATGTCTGTGGGGAGGAGCAGGGGTCAGGACTGGCAGGAGAACCCGCCTCTGCTTGGGGGTGTTGGGGGAGGTCTCACCGCCACAGGTCTTCTGGTCCAGGAGCCGGAAACCCGTTGGGCAGGTGCACTCAAAGCCAATCCTGAGGTCCGTGCAGATGTGGGAGCAGCCGCCATTGTTGTGCAGACACTCGTTCAGCCCTGGGGAGGGACATAGGTTCCTGAGGGTCCAGGAGCCAGAAAGGGTGGGGGCAGGGCAGGGGCGGGGCCCAGAGCAGAAGCAGAGCCTCAGGGCAGCAGGACTCCCACAGAGCCAGGTGACCTCTGCCTCATGACCCAGGTGTCCAGGCAGGAGCAGGTGCAGAGAGCAGGTCCTTGCTCAAGGCTGGACACAGAGACAGGGACAGAGTGGAACCAGAACTCAGGTCCTTGGCCTCCCAGGCCAGAGCTCTGTCCACCACCAGGCTGGAGGCAGCTAGGCCTTCCCCGGTGGCCTGAGGTATTTCCTTTCACAAACAGGCTTCTTACAGCTCCTCCTTCCCCGTAACCTCAGAGTGGAAGGGGCCTGCACGTGTCGTGTCCAGCCCTTGGGACACTCCAAGAATCCCTTCTGAAATGCCCCTGCTGCAACGTGTCCAGCCTCACGGAGCCACTTCCCCCGAGGAACGGGCTGCACTTGGGACAGCACTGCCCCAGTTCCTCCTCCTCACACGGCAGCTCCTGCCTCCTGCGCCTTCCGCTTCCACAGCCAGCTCTGCCGCGCCGGCCGGCCAGGCTGCAGCTCCCCCAGCCTCCTTCGAGTGCTGATTTCTGGTCTGCTGCCACGCAGGCGCCTTTCTCTGGACACTCTCCCTCTGCCCATCTTCCTCACTGGACAGGGCCCAGGAGTCTGAACAGCACAGGACGCCACCGCTGTGCTTGTGGTCATTCAAGACTCCCGGGCCATTTTTTCACACAGAGCTGTTGCTAAGTCAATTCTTTTCTACTCTGAACTAATACGACACATTTTTTTTTCAGCTCCTCTCCTCTCAGCACCTGTCTCTGTTCCTCCATCTCGTCAAGGGCCTGGTACTGCGATTACCAACCACTGCAAGGGACAGAGGGAGGCCAGGCCACCTGATGCTGGTTCCCCATCCTGCTGCCCTCCTCACTGCCTCCTGGCAGGGTCCTGGGGGTGGTCAGGGAGTTCAGGACCAATGTTCTCAGGGCATCTCCTGAGCTTTAGAGTCACAGGTTAATTCCGCAAGCCAAGGGAAGGCGCCATGCCCCCGCCCGCCAGGCTCATGCACTGCCACTCCAGCCAAGCCGAGCAGAGCTGAGCTGAGCCAGCCAGGGCCATGCGTACAGCTTGTCTGCACCGCCCACCCCACGCCATGCACAGCTTAGGGCTACCCCCACCTCCAGCCTGAGCCATGCTTAGGGAATGTCCCCTTTACCCCTGGGCCTCCTCCTGTTTCCCAGGAATGTTGGCGGAACTGAAAGAACAAGACCACAGCAACCTCATGACTGGAGGACCTGGGGGTGACTCAGCCAGGTCCAGCCCTGCGAAGCCCCAGACTCTTGGGGGTGGGATGAGCCACAGTAGCTTTGGAGTAGTCTCAGGGGGTGGGTACCACCTCCAGGAATCCTTCTGTCACTCCGAGTCCTCCCTGACTTCTTTTCCATATTATTCCCTGAGCACTGCCCACTCATTTCTCCTCCCACTCCACTCGATGCCTCAATCACGCATCCACTCACTTCCTTCCTCTCCTTGTGCAGGTGGTGGCAACTCAACAATTCTACTTACTGGGCACTTGCTGGAGTGGCATGTGTAGGATGGCTCTGAAAGGGAAAAGGGGAGAGCTCAAAGTGACTCCGGCTTCTGGAGGAAGGCACGAGTCCTCCAGGGCTGAGGTGGGCCAGGGGAGAGAAAAGATAGCGGGTCTGGACCCGGCTATTCCTGTCAGCCCTTTCCTGGAATACCCGAAGGGAAGTCTCTGATCCTTCCTAATTCTATTTAGTCCGGAAGTGACTCTTTCGAGGAGCAGGGAGAGGAAAGGAAGGGGTAAAGTGCTCCGGAGAGGCCTGAGTAGCATTTGAGGCTTCCTTCTATGGAAGGAAGGGGCGGCGTCACCTTCTCCAGCGTGTACACACACCCGCATGCACACACCGCATGCACACACCAGTCTATATGCAGAAGCACAGACAGACCACGGACTCCAGAGACGCAATCACACAGACGTGGGACCACATGCAGAGATGCGTGAGTGCCATTCCCCTGCCATACTCAGAGAAGGAGACGTGGATAAAGACAGCGGCCTGTCACTACCACAGGAACAGAAAGACACACACAGACACATGCGTACATACTTCTCTTTGGAGTGTCGTGCAGAAGACGAGAGAGCAGAGAGAGTTTAGCGGGTTAGCAGTCCCTAGCTAACTGCAGGTCTGGGTATGTGGGAGAAGCTAAGTTCGGTTGCTCCTGCTGCCCTGTCCCCTCTTCCACAGGTTCCTTCTTCCGGGACTTCTCTCAGCAGGGCCTGGGGCCAGGGGGAGTGTCTGTCTCCTGCAAGCTCAGGTGCAGGCGGAATGACCTTCACTCAGTCACTCTTCTTTTCTCAATTAGTTTTTTTTTTTCTTTTTTAAATCTTTGAAAGGGGAGGAAACATGCTATTCCTGAAAAGCTCCAGAGAATGAAGCCCTCCGGGTTCCCGGATGGGAGGCACTGGGGAAAACACTCTGCCAGCACACAGAAGAGGGACTGGCCGACATAGGCTCTGCCCTCCCAAGGCTTCTGTCTAAATCTTCCCCTAGCTCTGACCGTCTAAGATTAGTAAAGAAATGACTCATGAACCTTCCTGGAGTTCACACTGAGTTTCCTGCAGGTTCTCTGGGATGCCCACCCAACCTATAGCCCACACCCTCCATTCTTTCTGGCCTGGAAGCCACCAGCTCTAGCCACCAGCACAGCTTCATTCCTTTCCTCACTAGTCCGCCTGCAAGCCTGGTCTCAGCAAGTCTGAGCTGCTCAGGGCTGGGGATGGGGCCACGCCTGCTGCTGGCTCTGCCCTGAGCAATGCCCAGGCCTGGCCTTGACTGGCTGCCTCCCCGCTGCTCCCCACCTCTCCGCAGGGTCTCCTGCAGAGGGCTGGATGACCTCAGAGGCCAGAGCCCTGGCTAAGTTAGCAAGGCAGCAATACTGAGGAAGAGACAGTTCCAGAGAACACACACTCAGAGGTGTGAACGTGGAAGGAATGAGGAGCAGAGGCCAAGTTTGTGAGAGGAAGTATAATTTTTGAGCATCTGGGCTGGAAAGGAAGGGCCCTTGGAGCTTTGCAGAGATGCAGAACAAGAGGCCCCAGGGGCAAAGGGGCACATCTGAAGCCAGAGAACAGCATGAGACCAGAGAGAGGGTCAGGGCAGAAAGTGTCAGAGCAGAGGGGCACTCAAGGGCCTTAGCCCGGATGCTGGGAGAGGACAGGCAGGAGGGTTAGTGCAGCTGTCAGGCATGGACAGGTACCGTACCACACTCTTTCAGGAGCTCATCTGACCAGTCCCGGCAGTCCTTCTGAGCATCACACACTTTCCCGCTGTCCACGCACTCGCCACTCTTACACTGAAATCTGCGGGGACCCTCACAGGTTGACTCTGTTGGGCCGGACAAGAGAGTGGACAGTGCCTATGAGACTTTGGACAGCAAGGGCTGGGCTGGGCCAGAGGCCAGGGCCTGAGAGGTGGGGGGCGAGCAGAGTTTCAGCTCCAGCTGCCACAGGTCCCTAGAGGGTGGCCCAGGACTGACAGCCAGACGCAGGGCCGGTGGAAACTCTGCTCACACAAGGACAGGGTCCCAGGACGAACAGGATGCCACACCTCACCTAGCTGGACAGGGCCACGGGGTCTGAGTCTGATCTGGCAGCACTAAGGCCCTGGAGGGACTGGGCGGCAGCTCTAGAGAGGCCTTGGTGGCTGGACTGACCACCTCCTGAGGGGGGACGTCAGCTCCATGGACGCTAGATGGGAGAGGCTGCCTCACTGCCCAGCCTGCTACCCACTGCCCCAGGTGACCAGCAGGTTGGAGTGCTCGCTCCTGCAGATGGTGGGTGGCGACCATAACAGCCACCTGAGAATTAAGGGGACTCCCTGGGGAGCAGGATTCCGCTTTCGCTCAGTCTGGGAACTCATGACGGAAGCCGCTCAGAGGCTTGGACCTGGACACATGGTGAGGGCCGGACTTCCTCAGAGCCCTTTCATGTCCCCCCAGGCCACTTTCAGCTTTTGCAAAGTCCTCAAACATCTGGTGCTGGTGCCAGTAGGACCCCATGGAAGGGGAGCCAGGTGATGTAGGGGCACGGGACCCTCTGAGGAAAAACGCATCTCAGGGACCAAGGGGAGACTTGCCCAACTCTGTCCTCTCCACACTGAGAGACCTGAGGGCCCTTCCTTACCGAGGACGCTGCCCCTTTGCCCCGACCACACGCACCCTGTAGGCAGCCAGCTTCGTCACTCCCGTCTGGACAGTCCTGCTCCTGGTTGCAGCGCTTGATTGAAAGGACACAAGTCCCATCCCCACACTGGAACTCGTCCCCACGGCAGGTACCCAGTGCTGCCAGGAAAGGGCAAGGGAAAAGGGTCAGGGCCAGGGTCAATGTGGCACTAGGACAGCCCTCCTCCCCTGTCCCCATGCCATAGCCACCCTGGCAAGAACAGAGCCAGTGGCTGAGCTCAGGAGGCCTGGCCAAGGTACCTCCAGTGTACAGATGGGGAGACTGAAGCTCAGAGAGGGAGAAGGCCTTGCCCAGGGTCACACAGCACTCAGGCTGGCAGAGATAGGACTAAACCCAGGTCTCCTATTTCCCTCTCTACTGCCTTTTCCTGGGGCCACTCGTCCAGGACAGACACATGGCCTCCTTCTGAGTCTTGGTGCTCCTTGCTCAATGACTTCATGCACCCAGCAAACCCTTCCTGAGGCAGGCACTGTGCCGGGGCGTGGGGGTGGGGAATGCAGAGACCATAAGGGCCTCCTCATCCTCCAGCAGCTCAGAGTGCAGAGCCGGCTGAGGGATGCCCGGATGAGGACATCACAGCGTGAGATGTGCCGTCAGAGAGGGCGGCTCACGGACCTCGGGAGCAGGACAGGGGCACCCAACCCAGCTGGGAAGGTCGGAGACACAGGTACCCGTGAAGAGGCGTGGCTTCTGGAGTGAGACCTGAGCTCGCAGCTTCGCAGCCACGTGACCTCAAACAAGTCACTTCACTCCCCCTACCTCGGTGTCCTCCGTAGGCAAACGGGGTACCTTATTCAGGGTAAGGTGAGGAAAGGAAGCCTGCACCATCCGCGTCCCCGGGCGGGGCTGGGGATATGGAGGGGGCTTACGGCAGTCGGCCTCGTCCGACTTGTCCTTGCAGTCGCGGTCGCCGTCGCAGCGCCAGCCCAGGTGCACGCACTCGCCGCTGCGGCAGGCGAACTGGGAGGCGGCGGCGCAGGCCGCGGGCGCGGACGTGGCCCCCGGGCCGGCGCGGCCGCAGAGCCCGGCCGCCTCGTCCGAGCGGTCCTCGCAGTCGAACTGGCGGTCGCAGACCCAGCGCTCGGGGATGCAGGCGCCGCCGTCGCCGCCGCAGCGGAACTCGCGGGGCCCGCAGGCCGGGTCGGCGCAGCCGCGCTCGTCGCTGCCGTCGCCGCAGTCGTCGTCGCCGTCGCACACGAACACGGCGGCCAGGCACGAGCGGTTGCTGCACTGGAACTCGTGCGGGGCGCACACTGCGCGGGACAGACAGCCGGTCGGCCCGCCGGCCCCGGCCAACCGGCCCCGCTCGTCCTGCTACCGGGGCTCTGACCCTCACCCACCGGCCGGAACGAGTCCCTCTGGGGCAGCACACTTGCCCCAGCCTCCCTGGCCTCACGGATGGGTGAGTGAGGATTCCTGCACTGCTGCCCCCAGCCTGGCGGGACTAGCACCGCCTGAAGGACCTTGTGACGTTCCCAGGAAATGACCTGTAACGTGACACTCACTCTTCCCAGGAACAGGTCCTGGGCTTGTCCCCTTGTAGCACAGCTGCACACAGCATAACCTGCACTGCTCCGTCTAAGTCCCCCGCCTGGCATCCAGGGGTCTCCCGGGCCATTGCTCCAGCCCCAAAACCTTGCTCATGCACACACCCTGTATCATTTGCTGGGCCAAGCGTACAGGTTTCCAGCCCTGGGCCTTTGCTCGAGTTGCTCCGACTGCTGGAAACCCTCTTCTTGCACACCACTGTCGCTACATTTAGCAATGGTGAGCTCTTGTCCTTTAAGGGTCGAAATTCTTCCTCCTCTGTAACACGCTTTGTGTTCCCCTGCTTAGAAATCTTCCTCGGCCCTCTTGTTTTTGCCCCTCACAGCCTGCTCAGGTGTCTGGGCTCATGTCCTTTTCCATCCATCCCACAACACAAATGGCCTGGGGATGAGCCTCCTTTGTCCTGAGCGCCTGGCACAGAACTCCCTGCGGTGAGCGGGTGTGGAGTGGATGGGGTACTGGACTGGCCCAGGTGTGAGGCAAATTATGGGATGTGCAGTAATTAAGGGTATAGGTCATGGCCCTCCCTGGGCCCTGGGCTTCTCCTCTCTGGTGGGCTGGTCTGAGCTCAGAGGCAGAGAGGGCCTTAGAGACCAGCCAGCCCAATTGCCAGTTTACAGATGGGAAAACTGAGGCCCAGAGAGGGGAACAACATGCCCAGGGTCCCATGGTCCATGGAGACAAGAGAACCAGAACTCAGTTTTGGGGTATCTCTTTCCTACTCTGACTCCTTCTCTCAGGTTTTCTGGTTTTCTTCTCCCTTCCTGGAGTGTAAGCTCTCTTCAAGGCAGTGACCTCCTCACCTCCTTCCCACCTTTGTGTCCTCACACACAGGCCAGGAACAGGCCTGGGGCAGGTGGGCAGGGACGCAGTGGCTGTGGCCACAGGTAACACGGAGGGGATAGTTCCAGCTCTTTCCACGTGGGGGCACTCATAGTCTGTGTGTTTTTATTTTCTGACGGAAAAATGTCAATTCTCATTGTTACCAAACACAAAATAGAGTGAGTCTTCAGTTTCGCAAGGCAGTTCATGTCATGTGTTTCTGACAGCTCTACCAAGTTTCTGACAGTTTTGTTTCCCCTTCTGGGCCTCTGGGGTGCTGAGGCCTTGGTGAGAACACCACGGGCTCCCAGCGCTGCCGCTCCCCAGATTATGCCGTCCCGGAGCAGCCCCTCCTGCCTAGCAGACCCCTTGACCCCTTCCCCATGGCCAGGAGGGAGGGCTCACTGCTTCCTGAGCGTTCTGAGAGGAAGTGCTTCTTAACACTGAGTTTTTTTCCGAAGGTTTGAAGCTGACAGTAACTTTAAGGTCTGTATTCCCAGGCCCACCTAGGCCCAGAGACCCCACTCCCAGCACTCACAAACGGGAGAAGCTCTGAGAGATGAAAAGGGAGGATTCTTCTTCCTCTGCCCAGGCAGGTGGGAGCTACAGCAGGTAAGCCTAGTAAGACCTTCTAACACCTCTGTCTCCCGTAATTAATGGGGAATGTTCCTGTCCCAGCATGCCCTGCTAACAGATACTCCCACTACCCCTCCCCCCCAACAGTCGTGGCCTTCATATTAGAAAAATCCTTTGATTATGGGGGCAGAGGCAAGGAGGGAAGAGGATTCTCATTGGCTAGTGAGTCCCAGTAAAATTATCCCAGCTGAAGAAACAAGCCAACGCCATCATGGGCGCTTTGAGAGTGCTGGTCCCCGCCAGGGTCTCCCACCATCCCCACATGCTTCCTGCTTCAGACACGCCGGAACTCCAAACTTAGAATCTGAGAGTGGATGACTCAGAAGCCCCTGGAGGAGATGGCAGTTCCCCTGGGCCCAGAAGGATGGAGAGGATGCAAATATAGACGCTGGTGGATGGGAGTGGGGGTGAGCAGCAGTGACGAGCAAGTGCCTGGCAAAAACCCTCCTGAGTGACCGCCCATACCTCAGCCCAGCCTCACAGCCCGTTAGTGACAGCCAGTCTGTCTCCCCCATTAATCACGTGCACCCAGAGGGAAGACTGTATAGAATTCACCTCGCTGGCCCTCTCAGAGCCTGGCTCCAGGCCTGGCACACAGTAGGTGCCCATCAAATTGAAACAAGTGAGGTGGGGTCGCGCTCCCCACTGGCACAGGCCCTGCTGGCCCGCTCTCTGGGAAGGAGATAATCCTGTGTTTGAAGCTCAGTGATGTGGAACTGTCCCAGTGACCACCTCCATCTGTCCCTGCCGAGGCTGCTGGGAATGTCTTCCCCACCCTGTGACATTTGTGCTCGAGTCTGCGATTTCAGCAACAGTCGTCTTTCACACGTCAGGAATCTGTCCGCCCCCCGGCACTGCCGGTGCCCTGTCTCAGGTCACTTCTTTTTCTCAGTTCAGCCCCCTCCCAGGTCCCCCTGCCCTCGCTCAGAGATCAGCAGACTTGTGGGATGGATGAGCAGATGTCAGGCGCGGTAAGAAGCTCATGGGCTTTGCTGTCCAGACCTGAATTTGAATGAGTTTCCTCACTCAGCCTGGGGCACTTTTCCTCCCTTGTCTGAGCCTCAGTTTCCTCACCTACAAAATGGGGGTGATAATGGCTACTCATGAGGTGGTTGTGAGGATGAGAAAAGAAAATGTCTCCGAAGTGTCTGGCCATTGCTGGTGTCCTAATCGTTATCCTTTCCTCTCTACCCAGCGAGCTCCTCAGGGAACTAGCCCCTCCCCAGAAGTGGCTGCCACTCCCCGAGGCGTGGTAGACCTGGGACCTGACCCGGGACTCACAGGTGGCACAGCCGGCTTCGTCCGCTCCGCCCTCGCAGTCCTTCTCCCCGTCGCAGCGCCACGAGGCCGGCACGCACTTGCGGCTGGCGGGTCCACAGCTCAGCTTCTCTTCGGGGCACACCTGCTTGGCTGTGGAGACAGACATCATGCGTGGCTGAGCCAAGGGGGACCCAGGGCATGGTGCCAACCAGTCCTACCACCCGTTCCATCCGCCTGGCCTGAGGCCGTAGGAATCCATCAGGGCCCTGCTGCCCCACGTCTCAGTTTCTTCATTTGAGAAGCAGCCCCTGTCTTCCCCTGGGACTTTCCGAATCCTAAATTGGACCCCACTACTGCCCTGAGTCACACTCTTTCACAGCCCCCTGGTCCCTGGCACTCAAGTCCCTCCTTGATCCACTGACCCCTGCCTGCCTCACCTGGCCGCACCTCCCACCCCTGCAAACCTCCGCTGTAAGCTACGGCAATGCGGAGCCCCCAGGCCTGCACGCTGCCCGGCCACTTCCCAGCTGCGTGCCCTCGGGTGGGGGTTCCCCAACAGAGCCGCCGTTTGACTTCCAGATCATGACTCCATGAGCTGAACCTGTAAATTTGGAGGGCTCACCACATCTCCAACAGCTCCACGCCACACCCCTGCAACCTCCCCTCCCCCAGTGACAGTGCCCAGCCCACCGCCAAGAGCAGCCGCTGCGTGGAGGGCCCAGCGGGACTGCACAGCTATAATTACTGCAGCCGCAATCAGAGGCTGACTCAATCAGGGGCCTGCAGCCCCGGGGTTGGTTCTCAATTTGGAAGAAAGAACGAGAACCCTATTCAGGGCTAGGGACATCTCTTATCCCGAGCTGCTGCTGGGCCTATGCGACAGGCCCGCCGAGGCAGATGCATCTCAGACCACCATGGCCGGCTCCCCACTGCCTTCCAGGTGTGCAGGAGGCCCAGTCTCAGTGGTCTCCGGGCTGTGCCAGGCATGGTGCTAGACACTTCCATTTAATTTTCACAATAGCCCAGCAGGGTGAGAGGATTATGTCCTGGCCTCCGGCATGGGGGTTGAGGACATGAGCTCTGCAGCCTGGCTGTCTGGGTTCAAATCCTAGCTCCATCACTCACTCCCTATATGTGACACCGGCCAGCAATCCTTATCTCTGTGCCAGTAGAGTGGGGATAATACTATTACCTGCTAGGACTGTTAGGACGCCTAAGTTCATGTCTATAAAGCACTGAGAACACCCGGCTGACTGCTCACTAAATGTTGCAGTTATTATTATCCACATGTAACAGATGAGGGCTCGGGGTCTTGTTTAGACAGGCAGTGAGTGTTAAGCACTGCTGTGTATCAGACAATGGTGAGCACTGAGTTCCAGTTATGTAGCCGGTAAAGAACGGTGTAGGAATTCAAAGCCAGCTGTGTCCAATGCCAGAGCCTGGGCACAGTCCATTTCACCCTGGAGGCAGTGGGCTTCATGCCTCATCCTCAATTTTGCTCTCTGGTCTCAGGACAATTGCCCCTCCTCTTACTTCTGTAGCTGGGATGAGAGACCACAAGGGATGGAGACAAGGGCACAGATAAGTTGGGGAGGGGGCCAGGTGTCTGAGTTTCTCCCCAGAAACTACTACCGCCATGGGAGAAGAGTACCTTAGACTCCCCAAGTGTGGGCCCCAAAGTTGTCCCTAGGAATACAATCCCTTGGAAATATAGATTGATTTTCCCTTTACAGAAATTTTCCTTTACAAACAATTGTCAGGTAGAGAGGTAGAGCTCTGGAAAGCATTGACACTCAAAGACCTTTTTATAGACAGGGTCTTACTCTGTTGCCCTGGCTAGAATGCATTCATAGCTCACTGTAACGTCAAACTCCTGGGCTCAGGCGATCCTCCTGCCTCAGCCTTCCAAGTATCTAGGACAACCGGCGTACGTCACCATGCCCGGCTAATTTTTAATATTTTTGTAGAGATGGGATCTTGCTATGTTGCCCAGGCTACTCTTGAACTCCTGGCCTCAAGCAATCCTCCTGCCTCAGCCTCCCAAAGGGCTGGAATTATAGGCATGAGCCACCATGCTCGGCCTCAAAGATCTTTTAAAAAGGCCACTGCAGGGCTGTGGTGTGGGGTGGTGAAGGGAGACTGGGATTGGAGATGGGGTCCTTCCAGGGCGCCTCTGTCACCAACACACTGCAGGACCACAGGTAAGCGCTTCCCTCTGGGCCCCATCAGAACATGAGGGAGCTGAAGCTGACCAGCATTTCCCAGAGTCCTCTGGGTAAGGGGTGAAGGAGCTATTAGAAGTGCAGGTTCCTGGGCCCCAGCTCATGCCGACTGAATCCAGACATTGAAGACAGAGCATTTCAGTAACTCCCAACCCAAACCCAGGTGACTGTCATGCACCTCTGTTGGAGGACCCCTGGGTTAACATTCACTACCATAGAGGTGATACGGGTGTCCCATATCAGCAAGCCCCTGAGAGAGCAACAGGACGGAACGGCAAGGTAACCATTTATCCCTAAGCCAGGCCTCAGGAGAGGGAAGCTCACAGCGGAGTTGGAAGGGAGCCACGTTTACTGAGCACCTACTGTGTGTCAGCCTGCTCCACACCAAATATTTCACATTTTCCCATCTCACTCTGCCGTGGTCTGAATGTTGGTGTCCCCCCTAAATTCATGTTGGAACTTAATCCCCAGTGGGATAGTATTAAGAGATGGGACCTTTACGAGGCAATTAAGTCACGAGGGTGGAGCCCTCATGAATGTGATTAGTGCCCTTATAAAAGAGGCCAGAGGGATCCCCTTCCCTTTCTACCATGTGAGAATGAAGCAAGAACATGCCATCTATAAGGAACTGGCCCTCACCAGACACTGAATCTGCCAATGCCTTGATCTTGGACTTCCCAGCCTCCAGGACTGTGAGCAATAAATTTCTGTTGTTTATAAATTACTTAATCTAAAGTATTTGGTTATGGCAGCCAGAATGGACTAAAATACACCCTCACCCTCACCCTGACAGGTAAGCAGGCTTGCAGGCTGCAAGTGCAAATTCCAGGGGCGCCATTCACAAAGAGTACCATGTCAGTGGCACCCCTGGAGTGGAGTAGGGCAATAGTCCTTCTGGTAAGTGCTCCATTTTACAGATGAGGAAACTGAGGCTTAGAGAGACCAAGTAATTGGACCAAAGATGCACAGCAGGTGAGAGGCAGAGTCTGGGTGCCTGTGACTAGAACCCTGCCCTTTCCATCAAACCCCACACACTCCAGAACCAGCCCAAAACTCTCCTCCTAAAAGTCCAGCTGACTGAAATGGCCCTTGGCTGTGTGCACCACCTCTAGGGCCCTGGTTTTGCAGACCCCAGTGCAGCAAGCAGCCGCTTGAACTTTTAATGAATATTTATACAGTTAATTGCATAACCTTTCAGCAAGGACAATGATTAAACAATCTGTCTGCTTCCTTTCTTTATAATTAATAAGACATTTGCTGTGTCCCTAAATAGACAGCTCTAATTACAGGCTCTTGAGGATTCAGTGGTGCCTGATAACAGCCCCCACTGCCCAAAGAGCCAAGGCTCCTGGAATGCCAGAACATGAGAGACCTTGGAGGTCACATGGATGAGCATCCCTTGCAGTGGCAGGAGACTGATGCCCAGAGAGGAGAAGGGACCTGCCTAGGGTCACGTGATACTGGGTGCTGAGTATTCTAACTCCTATCGTCCTGGAACCTCACTGTCTCTCCTGTGAGGTAGCTCTCCCCTAAAGCCGGATCGAGCCTGGCTCTCAGGGCTCCCAGGCCAGGCCTCTCAACTGCATGGCCCTGGGAAGCTGGGCTGGTTAAATGCCATCTCCCTATGCGGTGGGAGATATTATTACCTATTGATTACCTCCGTTTTATGGATGAAGAAGGCAAAGCCCAGCGAGAGTAATTTGTTTGTTCAAAGTCTTGTGGCGAGAAGTAGAGCGGGACTTCCATCCAGGTCCAAACACACGGCTTAAGTTATTGCACCTACCCACTGCACACGAGAAAGGTAGACACTCTTGTCTCCCCAGCAGCTCTGGGCTGGAGGGGAGTCGCTGGAGGGAGGGGGCTCGCTGAGCTTTTGCTCAGGCAGGTTCTACACGATGGCCACTTTCAGGATAATTGGAGCCAAAGGCCCCCAGGCAGCTTGAGGTAGGAGAAAGAGCAGGGGTTTTAGAGTCAGACAGACCTGGGTTCAAATGTCACTCACTAACACTAAGGTCCTTAGGCAAGTCATTTTCACCTCTCTGCACCCTGGCTCCCCTCATCTGAGAATGGGGTTGTATTCAACCCTATTCCTAGGGTTGGTGGGCGGTTTAAATGAAGAAATACAAGGAAATCCCTACATACAGAGCCTGGAACAAACTAGGAGCTCAGAAAATACTTGGGCTTGTTTTATTCATGAATGGCTGGCTGGTGGAGGGCCTAGTTTCGCCACTGGGGAACGTACGTTGTGAGTCCACATGGGCCACCGTGTCGCAGCCGCTTCCCAGAAAAGCCTCCTCTTCTGTGACAGACGCTGTCCAAGTACCCCAGGTTCTGAGAGGCAGGAGTGAAGAACCCCACTGTCTCTCAGACAACAGGAGCCCTCCAAAGTTGGCAAAAGGGCTTGAAACTCTATCTGGGAGTAGCTGAAGGCAAGTATAAATTCCCAGAGAATCCTGCCCCAGAAATCCAAATCCATTGGTACTTTCCCCAATTTATAAGTTCACAAATTAACACAAGGGGAAATGTCTGTTGAATACAAGAACAAAAGGACTTGGTGGATGCTTGCTGATTGAGCACATCTACGATGTCAACTCAAATGGGGACCACCAGCTCCAACAGACCAGAGACCAGGTGGTGGGAACTACCCGAGTCACTCCCTCCAGCTCTCGCCCCAGGAGGCACAGCATGGGACCATCCCGCGGTGCAGGGGCAGTTCTATCAAGCTCCTTCATACAGGGCCAGGCAAAAACGTTTCTAGCTGGGTCAGTTCCTAACTTGCTGGGTGGTCTCCGAAAAATCTCTGGGCCTCCATTTCCTGATCTATAATAGGTAGGTGAGCCTGATTAATCAGAGAGGTCCCCCTTCCAGGTGGAAAGGTTCTAAGATGTATGAAAAAAAACCCCTCCGTATTCAAATAAGAAGCACCCAGAACTGTAACTCACCTTGAACCATCCTCCCCCTCCCTGCCCAGCCCTCGCCCCTCCCAACAGATGTCTAAAGGTGGGTCAGAAACAGTTCCCAATCAAGGGAGCTATAATTAGAGCCAAAATGCTACCTTCATTAGGCAAATGTTCTGGGCTTTTCCATTGTGATTCCTGGCTAAATTTGATAGGTGCAGAACCCTGAACCAGAGAGAATCAGAGCTGGGAGAAAGCTGGGCCAGCCAGGGGCAGACAAGACAGTGGGGGAAACACAAGAATTCATCTGCTCCCATCTCCCTTTCACTTACACTATTTGCTTGTACAATACCATTTTATAGGTGAATAAACTGAGGCTCAGGAAGATTGCACTACTTGCCTGAGGTCTCACAGGTTAAAGGACCTGAACCCAACTATATCAGATACCAAACTAACTTGGCTTTATTATCTACAATCTTTCTTTTAGGGTTGGGGAGTGGGGCTCTATCCTGGGAGCTGGCACAGCTCCAGGAACCTAGTAGGCTATGTTAGTTGCCATGGCAACACCAATTAAATGGACAGCAGGTTGGCTGCTGGGTTCTCATTCAGTTGGGAAGCAGTGAGCAAGCCTGCTACCAGATCCTGTGCCCTAAATTCTGCCTGACCCTTGAGGTCTCACTCTGGCCAACCTCCTCCAGGCAGCCCCCTTCCCACCCATAAGCCTCGCCTCCCTCTGACCAACATAACTGCACAGAAAGTGGGGACTCTGGCCCTTGCACCCAAGCTGGGCACAGGCAAGGGAGAAGGAGGGTCTCAGAATACAGAGTTCAGGAATCTAGGAGTTGTGAAGTCTCTGGAATTCTGGAATATTAGAGTTTAGGGCCCCAAGAGGGGTGGGAGGTATGCAGGACCTCACAGCAAATAACTGGGACAGCCCACAGGAGAGCTGGGCCTCCTGTCTCCTATGGTGCTAACTTGGCTGCTGCTCCCTCGGGTACCTTGCTAGATCTCAGGGAGCTAGAGAAGCTTGTCTTTTGTCACAGAAGGTAGACCTGCCATGAACAAGCTGTGTGTCTTTAAAACAAGTCTATCGACTTCTTTGGGCCTCCAGTTCTTCAGCTGTCAAAAGTGGGTCTGGGAGACAGGAGGGGTGAGGCAGGAGGGCCTCCGCACAGCCCAGAGGGTCGGAAGGCAGCAGGCGCTGGGCTGGGCGAGAGCGGGAAGGACAGAGGGAAACGTGGGGTAGGACGGGGAGGAGAGACGGTGAGAGGAAGGATGAGGAGCATGGATGCGCAGGGAAGGGCGGCAGGTGGGCAGCCCGAGGAGGGATGGAAAGAGACGTCAACCCAGAGACAGAGATGCATCAACCCAGAGACAGAGATGTGGGGAGAAGGGGGGACACAGCCCTCAGGCAGCAAGCCCGCCCCCCACCCACGACCACGATGAGGCTGCTCTCTCTTTCCCTGTCTGCTGTGTCCGGGCAGTGCGCAGCTGGGTTTGGTGGCAGAGCTGGCTGACCGCAGCGGTGGAAAAGCCCTTGTGGCCACAGCCCCCCTCCCCAAACGCATACTCCAGGCTGCACATGACTCTGCCTCTTGTTCACAGGGCAGCCTTGGGCAAGTAGCCGAGCCTATTCCAGCCTCAGTTTCTTTCTCTCTGTGGGGGATCCACCCCCCTCTCAAGGCTGCCAGGAGGAGGAAAGTCACAAGTGGGCGTGGCAGGGCTTTGTTCCCCGTGAAGCTCAGCACAAAGCATTGGGCTTCCCTCCTGCCTGGGCGCCTCCAGGACAGGAGGAGTTTGGATGCTTGGTGGGGTGAGGAGGGATGGGGCTGGCCGCCCTGCCCTGCCCTGCGGAGGAGGAGGGCCCGAGGGCAGGGGCAGCTGTGCGGGAAATGAGGGCTCCCTTGTCTCAGGCGGGGGTCGCTCTGCTCTGCCTTTCTCTCTCTGCATTCTCTTTCCCTTTGCAGAGACTGGTAGCTCTGTTGCTAGGAGACAAGGAAACCCAGTTATCACCGGCAGCAGCCCTGGATGGGACTCTGCTCTCTATTGTCCCCACCTCTGCCTCCAGGACGACTGTTACCCCTAAAGAGGGGATCTCGGTCCTCACCAGCCCCACATCCTCCACGCGTCCCCCCCTCCCCAAGCCTTTTGTCTGAGGCTGGCGCTGAAGCTCAGCCTCCTGTCCGCTGGGTCCTTCCCTGCCCCCTTCTCATCTCCTTTTTCATTTAACAAATGTCACGGAATGACCTGCTGTGTGTAAGTTTGCTTTGAGGATTAGGGCCTGGAAAATAAATCACGGAGAAACAAAGCCCTGAGTGTGAGAGGCAGGCCTGGGGCTTGGCTCCGGCCCTCCCACCTCACCCCTGGCCGCCTCTGCTGCCACCCTGCGGGCCTCGGAGGCAGGGGCTCCTAGGCTCAGCCCACCCAGGGCGGAGGAAAGGGCGGGGCCTCAGAGCCCTGGCTGGGTGGCCTTGGGCAAGTCCCTCAACCTCTCTGAGCTCCACTGTTCTCCTTCACACAGTTCAGGATGTGACAGCGCCTGCCTCAGGAGGCAGCCGTGGGGCTATAAGAGGCATCGATGCACATAAAGGGCTGAGCACGCAGTAAGTGCTCACTGAGTGCCAGCGGCCATCAGCGCTACTGGAATTGTGATCAAGGCCCTCAAGAACCGCAGCGGGGGAGGCCTGGAGGACGCTCACCGAGAGCGTGAGTGCAGCTCCCAGCACTGCAAGAGGTGCCACTGTAGGAGGGCTGTGGAGAAGCCCAGAAACCAGCAGCTGGACACACCTGACTGCTTACCAGGAGCGTCCCCCAGGACATGGCAAAAAGTGTTCAGCTGATCACCCCACTTGAGCCTCCCAACCTCCCGACAAGGAAGATCTGCTGAGGAAACTGAGGCCCAGGGCAAGGCCCACCCTCACCCAGCCCAAGGGGCGGGACTCACTGCAGGTGGTCTCAGACTCATCGGAGCCATCGGGACACTCCTCCTCGCCGTCACACTTCCAGTGCTCGCGGATGCAGTGGCCGTTGTCACAGGTGAAGTCGCTGTCCCCACAGGTTGTCTTGGCTGTGGGGCAAGAAGAGCATGTGTGGTTGGTGGGCACAGGAGGCTTTTCTGGGACACACAGCCAGGTGGCAGGGGGTGACCAGAATGTGGTGGGTCTGAAAGCTGGACCACATGACTTCCCACAGCCCCACGAGGCTAGGGAGAGCCTCACAGACCAAGGTGAGAGGACAAGACAGCCCAGTTCCCGTCATCACCTCCAGGAAGCCCTCCCTGATGCCCTGTGGCAGCTGCTCTAGCTCCTTGAGCCAGTTCTCAGTCCCTAGACCTGCCTGCCCCACCTCCCCCAACCAGGCCAGCAGTTGAGGCCCCTTCTGCAAGCACCAGGGAGCTTGTGACCCTGAGTCCTACACATAGACGTTGCTTTGTGGTTAGAATAATGAGGTGTTTTGTGTTCAGCACAGGGGGAAGAGGATCTCTGGTCAAGACACCCAACTCAGTCACTGCCCCCAGATGCTTACAGCCCGCAGCCAGCTGCACTGGGCTTTGCATCCCAGTTTTGCTACTTCTAGCTGTGTGTCCTTGAGGACGTTACTTAGCCTCTGAGCCTGTTTTCTTACTATATAACCCAGAGAAGAAAACAAAAGACTGAGGAGGGTAACAAGACATTATAGTGTATAAGGAACATGCAACAGATTCTGACACGGAGCAGATGCTTGGTGAGTAGCAGCTATTGCTGTTTTCATGCTTTGAGTCTGAAATTAGAAGCAAAAGAAATGGGGCTTCGGTGCCCACACAGGGGATGTCGCAGGCTGAGATTGCACAGCTGGTAGCAGAGCTAGGACAAGAATGTGGGTAGCAGCCCCAGCCCAAGACTCTCTGCCTTGTTTCTGTGCCTTGTCTTAAAAAGAACCAGAATTTCAGGATCAGGGAAGGGACAAGAGAGGGCTGTCCATGTCCTGGGATGCCCCATTAGCATTGCTCTGTGCTGCCCTAGAGCTCCAGCCCCTTCCTGAGCACCATCACCCAGCACAGACCACATCTGCAGGCGGGGCAGGGGTGAGGGCAGTCGCCCCGACAGGCTTTCACGGGGGATCTGGGACTGCCTGGTGACCCCAGCAGGTGGGGAGGGACTGGGAAGGAGGCCTTGAGAACCCCGGCCATGACTCATAGCATCTTCCACAGCAGCCCTGGGCCTCTGAATTGTGGGGGGCGCATCTGCATGAAATCTGCGTTCGATTTACATGCAATAAAACTTTATTTTAAAAACAGGCAATAGGCTGTATTTGGCCTGTGGTCTGTAGTTTGATGACTTCTGCTCTAAATCATCACTGATCCACAGTCCAGGATGATTTGCTTCCTTCCTTGTCCCTCCAGCACAGGGACCATGTCAGATCCAGCAAAGACCTAACTCAGGTAGATCCCAGTGGGGCACACTGACCCAGGTGGAAACGTGGCTGCCCGGCCTCTGCACCCACGGCTCCAGGGCTGGGACTCACCTTCACCCTGGGAGGCTACTTCCCATGGGCCAGCTTTATTTAATCTACCCATGGGGGCTCTGGTGGCTTCTGGGGCTACATGACGGCTCCCCCTGCTCTAGGCAGCCTGGCAGGGGTTTGGGGACAGAGACTAGGTCCCCTGACTCTGTTCCATTTCTGCCTTTCTTTTCAATGGAATCCTTGCAGCACATCTGTGTTCTGAGATGAGTTTTCATCACATTTGTCTTAGACGGATGCCTCTGTACGCGCAGGGCTAGAAAAAACTAGAGGAATCAGAGTCTACCTATGGATGGAGTGAGTAAGGCCCAGAGAGGGAAAGGGGCTGGCCTAGAGAAACACAGCAAGGCAAGGATAAGAACTAGCTATCTTGCCTCTTAGCCCAGGGCTCTAAGTGGCGTTCCCTGTGCCCTCTGTGGTGGGAGGAGGTTGCTGTCCTTGATGGATACCAGTGCCACCTGCTGTACGCACGGAGAGTAAGTACCATATCAACCCAGCACCTGGGCAGTTCCCTTCACAAGCTCGGCATCCAAAGGAGAAAGATGCATTCTAGCTTTTCCTCCTTCCTGTTCTAACCTCCACCGAGTGCCCCCTGTGTGCCAGTCTCTGTGCCGGGTGCTTCACCCAGGAAACCCCTGACAAAGGGCCTGTTTTGTACCCACTTGACACCTAAGGAAACCCAGGCCCAAGGTTTCCTCAGTGGTACCAGATGTGGAAGAAAAGCCCCAAAGCAGTTGGCAGAGGCCCGTGGAAGCTTCAGTTCAGCATTCAAGGAGCCTCTTGTCTGTTCCAGGTTCTGCACTGAAAACACAGAGGAGAATCAGCCCAGCTCAGGCTCTGGGAGTTCAGAGCAAGTAGGCAGGTCTGGCAAGGACGCATGACCAGGCAGTGCCCAGAACAGCAAGGCGGCTTGAAGAAGGTGGTGAAGGGGCTGTCACTGGGCACAGGACAGCCAGATGCTCTCCAAGAACCCTTCCCTCCCTGGCATTCTGGAAGCCCCTCCTCATCAGGAAATGGAGCGTGGCTTCCATGTGCCAAGCCCTGGCAGGCACTGGGCAGGAAGGCCGGAGCAGCCACAGTACAAGCAGAGCCCTGAAGGGCAGCTCTGAGGTCAGCCAGGCCCAGGAAATGGCAGCTGCAGGGACGGGTGTCCCATGGTGGTGTTTTGAGGAGCAGATTTGTTCACTGTCTAGACCAGTTTGGACATTTTCCACCCTGGCCCTGGCCTGGCACTTTTCACCTAATATCCCAGTGACTCCTTACAGCTACTCTAGTAGCTGTTATGAATCCCATTTTACAGAAGAGGAAATTGAGGCCCAAAGAGGTGAGGGTGGTAGGTGGCAGAAGTGGGATTTCAACTCTGTGTGGCAGCTGCCGAAGCTTGGGCTCTTTCCACTGAGGCCGCCAGCCGCCCCGGTGTGACCAGGCTAAGAACGAGGACCCCAGAGGAACCCAAACGCAGGTCGGGGACATGCCCAGGAGCGTGCAGCAGAACAACCTGGGCCCAAGATGACTTGCGCTCTGCTGGGGGCCACCGTGGGGAAATGGAAGCAGCACGGTCCATTGCAGGCTGGGAACTAGACTAAACCGCCTTCCAGGGCCTGTCAGAAGCGTAACCACAAGGAAGGATTTGGAGTTGGAGCTGAGACTGAACTCGGGGGCAGCCACCTCCTCACCGGGTGGCCCTGGGCAAGTCCCTTCCCTCTCTGGGCAAGTGCGGACGCGGCTTTCCCACGCAGCACTGCCGCAAGGACGGGAGGCAAAAGACTGCTCGGGGATCGCACGGGCATCCAGGGTCAGGTCCCGCAGCGTGATGAGCCCACAGCCCCGCATCAAGAGGCCGTATCAGCCCGGCCAAGGGACGAGGGCCGAGCAGTCGTTCTAGGGCTGTCAGAGCAAGCCGTGCCAGATCGCCACTCTCCTGGCCTTGGCTCCGGTTCCCAGGGCGCTTCCCCAGCTGGGCTCAAGGCCACGGCTCCCTGTTTCCAGGGATTTATGTCCCTCCATGCCAGTCTGCCCCGTGGACAATGCCCACCTCTGTGAGTCCCTGTACTCCACAGCCCAGGAGTGATACATAGTCACCCAGGGTCTGCGACATCATAATCTGGTGCCATGGCAACAGATGGGCTGCCACAAAGGACTGGGGATTCCAGAGGGCAGTAAGGAGGGGCCAGCCCCAGGGCAGAGTAGGGAGAGTGGGAAATCCAGGACAAAGGGAATGGGAGCTGCCATTTGTAACAGGAACATAGGCCGAGGAAAGCGTCAGACAGTCCACAGTCTATCAAATTCTGCTCTGCCAATCGTAGGCTGTGTGACCTTTGCAAGTTACACAACTTCTCTGAGCCTCACTTTCTTCATCTGCATTCAAGGATACTATCCCCGCCTCATGAAACACACAAGTTGCTGTGAGGAGCAAATGGGCTAATAAGGATGGTGCCAGGGTTTCATGAACCAAAAAGCAAAATGTGCAAGTTTTAGGTGTGTGAAGTCACAGCCCTGGCCCCAGCTGCTGTGTGTGTGACTCTGGGCCCATCAGTCAACCCATCTAGGCCTGCCTCCCCATCAGGAAATGGAGGTGCTGACTAAGTCTTAGGCCCCCTCAGCACCTCCCAGCTTCCCTGCAGCCTGAGGCGTCCTGCTGTGAGACGACATTCATCCTGCACGCTGTTGTCCCCTACCCATGCTCATCCCGCAGCCCCCGTGCAGACAGGAAGCTTCGAAACAAAGATCAGTCAGGGCTGCCCGTGCAGCTTCCACTCAGCAATCAGAATGTCCGCCACGTCAGATCCCAGGGTCGCGAAGCCCCCTATACGCCCCCATCTTAAAAGCCTGAAAGCCAAGGCCCAGAGGGAAGTGACTGCTCGAGGTCACAGCACATGTCTGAGGGAGGCTGTGCTTGAACCCAGGTACTGGCTCCCAGCCCCACTGTGTGGCCAGGAAGCCAGGGGAGGACCACCTGTCCCAGCCCAGGGATCAGGGAAAGCTTCCTGGAGGAGGGCACCATGTTCAAGGATGAGGAGTCAGCCAAGCCATGGGTGCAGAGAGCAATGAAGGGCATCCCAGGAAGAGGGATGACAGGGCCCGGGCTGTGGAGGAGCCAGCAGAGTGGCCATTAGGGGCTGAGCCCTCCGAGGCCCAGCAGAGGGGCCTGGCTTTCCCTGAGCTCACACAGGGACTCATCCAGCCTCTTGCTAAGCACAGGGTTGCTGTCTAGCAGCCAGCAAAACCCATCCCTCCAAGTTGCCCGAGCTCCCCTTGGGATCTGGTGAGGCTGTGCAAGACAGACGATCGGCCCTAGCAAAGGAACGGAAGGGCAGAGGGCAAGAGAGAGAGCAGGGGTGGCCGTCCAACCAGACATTTGGGATAGGCACTTACTAGTTTCCCCCTTGGAGATTCATGATGACAACTGGCTTACTTTAAAGGCCCTGAGAAAGCCTGCAGTAAAGATATCTGAATGACTATGTCTCTTGCAGCACTTCCAAACTTGTTTAAGGAAAGAACTCCTTTTTCAGATGCCACAGCCTGGGGAAACACTGCTGTGGTACAAACCTCTCATCCTGCACATGAAAGATGAGGCCCAGAAAAGGGGAGGACTGGTCCACGTTCACACTGCAGTCTGGTACCCAGTCATCTGTCTCTGGGCCATCCCCACTAGGCCATAGGAAACAGGGAAAGGTGTTCAGAGAGAACTGAGCCCAGAATGAAGCCGAGGGGACCCCACTGGAGAGACCCCAGTCCTCAGAGCAGGGATGTGTCTAGCGCAGGGCCCAGGATGGGAGAGAGGGGAATGATGCCAGCCGCCCCGCCACCTCCCCGGAACAGGGAGATGAGAGAGATGTCAAACATACAGGCTCCTGCCCTCTAGTTTCTGTGGGCAGGTCTTGAGCCCCAGGGAATATTCTTTGAGGGCAGAGCAGAGACATGTAAGAAAGGTGGGGACAGGTCCCTTCCCATCCTGGGGCAGTTGAGAGACTGAGAGCAAAGATATACAGCCCCCACCTTGGAGCCGGGTGCCCAGAGGGACGGGGCTATTCCCACTTCCTCTTGCAGGCCCAGGCCAGCCCGGAGTAGCCTGGCTCCAGCCCCTCAGCCCAGCCGTAGGGCAGCTGGGCCACTTGTACAGAGTCGGGAGATGAAAGGGCTGCTCCCCCCACGGTTACCCTTCGGCAGAGCTCACCAGGCCCTGGCGTTGCCAAGACGACTGCTGCCAGCAGAACGGAGATCCGGGGTGGGGGCCGGGGGCGTGCCAGCCCGCCCCTGGCCTACTAACCTGGCAGGCAGATTTAAATGACAGCCCAGGAAGCTACTATTAAACTGCCACCCCAGTCAACGGGACGACAGACCCGGAGTGTTCTCTGGCTGCAGCAACAACACAGCAGGAGTGAGAGGGGGAGGAGACGGTGGCCCAGAGCAACCCTCGCCCCCACCCGGGAGGCCCTGGCCTGCCGCCTGTCCGCCCACTGCCAGAGCCACCCTCTCAGGCCGTGGCGAGTCCTGGCATGGAGCTGGGGCGCAGCGCAGGGCTTGGCAAACTTAATTTTTAAGCAGAAGAACCCTCTTTCCAAGTGAAACTCCAACATATAAAACAGACAAAAATGGAGCTGCACTGTCGGAAGCAGGGCGGGGACCCCATCCGCCGCTTCCTCGCCAACCCCGCAACAGCCCTGCCGCGGCTTCCGGGAATCTCTGAGGCTCGCAGCCCACTGCCAGCAGCTGCGGGGCGCGGCAGCACTTGGTCCAAATCCTAACTCCTCCCTGGATGTGTGACATTCCCAAAACCCTTGGTTGAAAGATCCTGTGGGTCTACTGTAACATTTAAGACAGCTTCCATATGTCTCTGGTTCTAACTCGCTAAGGCCCCAAGGTTCCACCGCACCACTCCGATTTGCACGCCCTGCGCCCGCGATGAGACGCTGTGACAGCTGCTGAGGGAGTCAGAGATGCCGGGACGCTGGGGATGGCCCCGACGCCTGCCCTGCAACGGGCCGTTATCGGAAGGCAAGCGCCTCCATGCCGATGGTCCCTGACTTTATGGCTCTTGGCGGTGCCGAGAAGGCAAACTGTTCCCACGGTGTCCTGACAGCAGGGCGCGGGGAGCCAGCACCCACCGTGTTCCGGGGCGGGGCTCGGGCCGCTTTGTGCCGCCCAGCGGGCTCCGGGGCTCAAGCCACCGCCATCCATCAGCAGGTGACATCTGAATTCGCTTTCTCCCCCAGGCTCCCATCCCACCTGGGGAGAAGGAAGAGCCGAGGAAGCTGCAGGTGCTGGGGAGGAGCGCGGACAAACGAAGTCTCCAGGGAAAGGATGGTGAACAGAGCGGCGCCGTGGGGAGAGATGCTCTTTGGTAAGGGCATCTTTGCTTTAGGTTGGGAAATGTTTCCCCCCAAATTTTCCAGCTTCCCTTTTCCTCCAACCCATTCCACTAAGGAGTTACACATTCCAACCAGGCCACATCATAAGACCAAAAAACCCAAAACACCAAGGTGTCAAAATGAGGTAGAAGGGGCGGGAGGCCAGAGGGAGGCTGCGTGGGAGGCGGCCACAGGGCTGACTTCCTGGGGGAGGGCTGAGCTGAGGGCAGACCAGGGAGTGTCCTGCTGGTGGGGCGGAGGACACAGATGGCACTCCAAGAGCAGCCCACACCACCATCCCAGATGAAGAGATGGGGTCTTCAGCTTCAGCAGACCCCAGCTGGGGGTCCTCCCAGGGTGGTGCCACCCACTAGATGAGGACATGAGGGAGCCCCAGAAAGGGACAGGCACCTGAGCAAGACTTCTCAGCCAGCAGAGTTGGAGCCAGAACTTGAACCAAGGCCCTGTCCCTGGCCCAGGGCTCTTTCTTCAATGTCCTCAGTGTCCCTCAGCTCCCAAACAGACATTTGCTTCATCTCAGTGTCTCCCTCACGCCACCTCACAAAGGGTCTGGTGCCGAGTGGGTGCTCGAAGAATATCTATGGCCCCACACTTCTAACAAGCCATGTGACTTCGCCCCACTCCGGGCTTCAGTTTCCTCACATGAACAAACCTCCGGCTGACTTTCTGGACCTGAGACCCCACGACACAGATGGGTTGTGGTTCTTGGTGCTGTTCCAAGCCCTCCAAAAGGGTGGCCTGGGGCTTCCCACAGCCAAGTCCCTCCTCCAGGCCCCAGTACTTCCCAGCTGCTCAGGGACACTGCCGACACCGGCCCCACTGTCACCAAGGGAGGCCCAAGCCCTCACTGGGGTATGTGGGCCTCCCTGTCGCCACAGGGAAGATGAGCGTCTCCGAGGGACAGATGACAAAGGCATCTTCCTGTCCCAGTGATTTGCGGATGCAGGAGGGATTGAGCCAGGGACAGCTGGGGGGCTGGGAGGAGGTGGGTGTGGGGGAGAGGTGGGCGGGGTGGGTCCCTGCTGGTGCCTTCGAGGGAACCCAGCGTGATGCTAGGGGTGCTGCTCAGGAAGCGGGCGGCACACTGAGGAAGTGGCCCCTTTCCTGCCCAGGCTCAGACCAGCCCCACCCTGGGTTGTGGCCACCCCCTTGGCAATGGGATTAGAGGTCCCAGGGAAATCGCTAGAAGAAAACTCAAGGCATTCTCAAAGTAGAAGCCTCTGGAGGGCAGAAGGCAAGGGTGGGAAAGGCAAGTGAGGGCCTCCAGCCCAGAGTCCTGCCTGGCTCCCAGCCTCAGT